GCGCAGTGCAGGTTGGCCTTGAACTCACTTTGTAGGCCAGGCTGACCTTGAAATCACAGTGATCCTCTTGCTTCAGCCTCCTGAGTGCTGGGATGATAGATGTGTGCCACCATGCCAGGCTCTTCTTTAATTTCATCTGCGACCCATTGATTGTTCAGGAGGGTGTTATTTAATTTCCATGTATTTATGAAGTTCTTATAGTTTCTTTTGCTATTGATTTCCAATTTCATTGCATTATCCTCTGATAATATGCATGAGATAATCTCAGTTCCTGTGGTCTATTTTGGAGAAGGTCCCATGTGCAGCTGAGAAGAATGTATATTCTGATGTAGGATGCAACAACATGTAGACATCTATTAAGTCCATTTGTTTTACAGTTTGGTTCAGTTCTAATATTTCATTGTTGATTTTTTGTCTAGTTGATCTTTTTGTCACAGTGGGTGTTGAGATCCACCTGTACAGTTGTATTAGTGATTATTTTATTTTTCATACCTGTTAATATTTGTTTTATATAGTTGGGTACACTAATATTTGTTTTATATATATATATGTGATTGCTATCTCTTTCTCTTGGATTGTTCTCTTTACAAGATGTAATGACATTATTTATTTATCTTAATCAGTCTTGACTTGAAATCTATGTTGTCCACAAATAGAATAGCTATCTCTGTTTTTTTTCTGGGTTCTTGTTACATGGAGTATTGTTTTCCATGCTTTGAATTTCAGTCTATGAATTTCTTTTGAATTAAGTGTGTCTCTTCTATGTAGCATATGTTGGATCTTAGTTTTTGATCTTTCTGCCAGTCTGTTTGTTTTGATTGGTGAATTGAGACTATTAACATTGATGGTTATAGATGATATGTGTTGACTTATCCTTGTCATGTTTTTTTTTTTCCTATTGTTGTCCCTCCCCCAGTGTTTAATTGCTTGCCTTGCCTGGCAGATTCATTCTGATGGGGTTCATGGAGCTGTGGTCCTTGTTATCTCTTTCTAGCATGTCCTCCAGTACATTTCAGAGTGCTGTTGTGCTGTTCATGAATTTCCTCAGGTGTTCTTTATCATGGAAGTATCATATTTCTCCATCAATTCTGAAAGACAGTTTTGCATCACATATCAATCTAGGTTGGAGATTGTTTTCTTTTAGGGATTGAACTACTTCACTCCAAGCTCTCCTTCACTGAAGGGTCTGTGTTGAGAAGTCAGCAGTGATTCTAAGGGGCTTTCTTTATAGATGATTTGTTTCTTTTCTCTAACAGTTTGTAATATTCTATTCTTGTGTTGAATTTCTAGAATATTGACTATGATACGTCTTGCTGTAGTTTTTTTTTTTTTTTTTTTTGATCATGGCTAATTTGAGTTCTGTATGTCTCACTTTCCTATATGTCAAATTCTTTTTCCCTGCCAGGGAAGTTTCCTGCCATGATATCTGTGAGCAAGTTTTTTGAAAATACCATTGTCGATCTCCTGCTTTTTGATTGACTCCAATCAATCTTATGTTACTCTTCTTTGCATTACCTATCAGATGCTGGATTTATTTCTCAGGGTCCTTTGCTATTTTTAAGAACTCTTTCTTTTCATTATTGCTTAATACAACCCTGTCTCCTATGTCTGAGGTTCTGTCCTCATCTGCTACAGATACTTTCAATGAAATTTTTAGTCTCATGACTATTTGCTTGAATCTATTTTATGGATTCCATTTCTTTTCTATGTGGGACATTCATGATTTCCTTCATTGTTCTATGCTCCTGTCTTTTATGTGTATCAGATCTAGAATCACTAAGCATGTTTTTGATTGTTGTCACTATCTCAGCAGTTATCTGAGAAATTACTTCTAATTTGAGTTTTTCTAGAGCCTCATTCATTTGCATTGCTGTTACCACTTTAGAGAGGCCAGGTGAGTGACTGTCATGGTTTATGTGTGTGGCCCCCAAGCCTCATGCTTTTGCATTGTGCATTTGTGATTGGTTCATTGTCTAATGCTTGGATTGATAGTGTCAGTGCTACACACACATACGGGTGGAGCCAGGATGTGATGTAATGGCAGGAAGAAGGCGTGTCTCGCTCTTTTACTGGTTTCTGCCTTGCTGTTTGCAGCCGCCATGAACTGCGGCCCTGCCATGCACTCTGCCTTGGAGCCAACCGAGTGTGGACTGAAACCTCCAAAAGCTGTAAGAAATAAACCTTTCCTTTCCCAACTTTGGTCATCAGGTATTTTGTCTCAGCAATGAGTAAAAAGTAACTAAGACAGTGACTTTCATATTGTCTCACTTCATTTTCCCCTAGGTTTGTCTGAACATCTGGGGTTGTATCTTATTTAAATGTCTTCTCATTTTCTATTTTTTTTTTAGTTTAATTCCTGGGTTGATACTTGTAAATTGTCTATGGTGATTAGCTTTATTGCTAGTATTTAGAACTTTAGGAAATGACTGCTTCTCAGAGCTGTCTTCCATTTATAGCTGATTTTTGTGTTTTAAGTCTGTTGCAAGATCCCTACCTCTTCAGTTTACTGGGGATGAGAAGTTTCTGCCTGCTTGGCCCAGCTTGTTTGTTTGGCACTGGTCCACAGTATTTTCTATGATCCTTAGGCAGTATCAGTCTTGGTATACCAGGAAGAACAGCTGGTTAAAACAATTATGTCACTTTGGCTAATGAGGTACAATCAGCAATAACAATGCATCAAACACAGCTCAGAAAATGACAAACTAAGGTAACTATTAATTTGCCACCTTTAACTATATGAACTAGATTTGTGGTCATATAACCAAATCTAAAACAAACCACAAAACTGTGTGCAGTAAGTGAGCCCTCAATATGTCAATTGTACCCTTGGGGGATAACATTTAAAAAGGGTAGGGGAAAAATAGAGAAATAAAAGAAGAGGAAGAGATTAGAAAGAAGACGAGAGGACAAAAGAGGATCACACAAACTTTGGGAAACGGGTCAAAAGACAGGAGGGAAAAAGAGAAGGAGGAAATAAAAGGAAAAACAGAACAGAACAACCACCACACACACACACACACACACACACACACACACACACACAGTGGACACTAACTATACTCACGTGCCTAAAAAAAAAAAAATCCAATAATAAAGAGAAAAAAATGAAGAAAAAAATCTCCAAACAAACAAAGGATAGAGAAAGGGGGGGAAAAAAGACCACATCCGAGTTTTTCTCTGCTGTCACTAGTAGATGACATGGGGAGGCAGATCTGTGTTGAGTTATCCCAGCAAGCCAGCAGGGACTTTATGGCAGGGTAGTAGATAATCTCACTGAGCTTGCACCTTTTTCCCCCCTGAAGTTCAGGCATGTTTCTGGCTGTGAAGTACAACTTCTGCAGGCATGTATGCTGTTGAGCGCTGCTAGATGGATCCAGCAGTTGTTCTGAGTTCAGAGCTTGTTAGCCCCCTCTTAGATAGCTCCCAGACAATTGCTTTTCCCCATGGGATGGCCAAATCCACTCCACTCACCAGTCAGTCCAGTCCACAGTGTCCACTCCTCCATTGCACTGCTGCATCCCTCTGTGGAGGCCTCTGGGGTTGCCAGGAGTCACTGTGTGTCTGCAGGTTTGAACTGCTCCTCCCATGCACTGAATCCCAACACGGGGTGAAGGCATTGCCTGCTACCTCCATCTTGTTTGTTAGGGTTTCTCCTTCTTCCTTGCTAAAGTTTCTACTCTTGGGCTTCAACTCTCACTTCAGACCCTTTCTGGGTCCAGGGCACCTACTTCATTCCTCTTCTTCCTCTAGTTGCTATATTCCAGTGTCTGGACAGCACATCTCAGAGAAGTTCTCCTGTTGCTTTTCACTCTGCCATCTTCCTGGAAGTCTTCAAACACAGGTTTCTAGATTACCTGAATTTCTCCTGGTAGCTTCACCAACTATATTACTGGGGTTCTGGGGGGCTGTGGTTTCCAAAGATTTTTTCGTGTTTCTTGGTGTCCAGAACAAATAATTAGACAAAATATGTGAAAAAGGTAGTGAAATTTAAATTTTAAAGGTAGGAAAAGAAGTATGCTCTGTAGAGTGCATAATGCTCCACTAAAAGAGCTGCTGGTGGCTTCTGTCAGTTTTCTAAGTAGGGTCATTTTGACTTTAGGCAGGGCAGACCCAAGTTCACCTACCCAGGAATGGGGAATATTTTTCCATTTTCCGATGTCCTTATCCATCTCCTTTTTCAGAGTACTATACATTTCTTTAGGGGTCTTTCACTTCCACAATTAGTTTAATTCCTAAGTGTTTAATATTTTCTAATGCTAGTGTGAGTGGTATTTTTTTATAATTTCTTTCACAATGAGTTTATTATTGGTGTACAGAAGTGCTATTGATTTTTGCGTGTTGATTTTGTATGTTGTTACATTGTGGAATTTGGTTAGTAATTCTTGGAGTCTTTTGATAGAATCATTTCTGCAATAATGATAACTGACTTCTTCCTTTCCTATACATGTCTCTTTGATTCTTTCTCTTGCCTGATTGCTTTGGCTAATGTTTTGAGGAGATGCTGAACAGGCTCACCGTTTTAGAGATTTCTATCCATGATAGGCTGGCTCCAAGGCAAGAAGATCATGTTGGGCGGTCAAAGCAGAGGAAAGCTGCTCACATTGTGGCAGCTGGGAGGCAGAGCAGGGGCACAGTGACAGAGGAAGAGGCCAGAGACCAGATATAGTCCCCAGGGTCACAATTCCAAGTCCCTGCTAGACACGTCCATAAATGTGCTTTACTAATAGACCTTTTTTTTTGGTACAGGGAATCAAACTCATGACCTCACGCTTGCTTAGCACCTGCCTGGCAAGCGTGAGGTTGTGAGTTTGATCCCTGTATCAACAACAACAAAAACAACAACAACTCTCTCTCTCTCTCTCTCTCTATATATATATATATATATATATATATATATATATATATATATTCCTTAGGATTACATACTCGTCATACTCATCATGCCAGGGACAGTTTTATTCCTTTCTGATCAGCATGCCTTTCATGTCCTTGCACTCTAGCTACGTGGCTGTGTGTGCTGAGATCCAGGAGCCCCACGTGTACCTGCAGAACAGCCAGGTGGAACTCAGCAGCCTCTACCTGGACGTGCCCACAAAGTCGACCCTCTCACTCGTCAACAGCACGCTCCTCCCCACCCGGTTCCACTGGGGCAAGGTGAGCAAGCCTGTACGCTGGGCAGCGGACCGCAGCCTCGGCAACACAGCCCCATGTGGCCCCTCCGGAGCTCCCAGCAGAGATTTTCAGCCTCAGTCCCACAGTCAGTCCCTCCACAGTGCCCAGAAAAGCTCAGCTCCACAAAGGAACAGCACAACTGGCCAGGCATTTCATGGCCTTGTGTCATCGGAACCCCAGTCCCCACAATGAAGGAGTTTCTGGTGTGAACACAGCTAGAGTCCCTGAGCCAGCATTGTCTGCAGCTCTTCCACACAGCTGCTGGGAGCCCAGCTGTGGCACTGCCCCTGTGGAACTTACTCTGAGTGCTGTGGGAAATGGGGCTGCATCTCTGTGCATCTGCAGCAGCACCCTCTGCTGCCATCACTCTGGGCCTTCCAGGACAGCTTATTGAGTCTAGTAACACTCTGACGGGGGTGATGTCCATCCGGGGATGCGGAGCAGGGAAGGGACCGGAGGTTTATCCTAGAAGTGAACTCCCAGCACTGTGTCCTACTGTAGTTATCAGTCTGCTAGCCTCCACCGAACACTCTGAGTCCTGGTCCATTCTGGGAGCCCTGCAGGAGACGACAACTACACTTCTGTTTCTACCAGCTCCTGGGAAACCAAGCAGCCTCCTGCACAGTGACAGTTTCCCCTAGACGTGGCCTGCTGGGCCCTAGTGAGGAGCATCAGTTCGTCTTGGAGTTCACAGCTCATACCCAGGTGAGTAAGGCAACATGTGGCCCAGTGCCTGGGAAGGCATCTTGCCAACAGGCTGCATCTGTGTCTCCAGGGAGTACCTGCCTCAGACTCTGCTCCAGGTCCTTGTGGGTGGGGAAGGGATATCTTTTGTATCTGACTAGGGTCCCCTATTCTCTAGGGACAAAGTGGCAGAGAGACTGGAGCAGGCCTCTATGTGCCTCTACATGCTTTTTAGACTTCTCCAGAACATACTCTGTGGCCGCTGGGGTCCCACATTTCCAATTTTCCTAGACACCTAGGGCAGAGCTAACTGGCCGCCAGAGACCTCCCAGGAGAGTCATGGCTGCTCCCTGGAGTGGTGTGGAGGAAGCCATCAGGGTTGACCATGCTCAGTAGTTGGGTGGTTCACCTGGGAGGAGAAACTTCTTCCTTTTCACACACTTGCAGGTTTAGGTTGCAGTTCTTCACTGGCAGACATGGGGCCTGTGAATTTCCTTACGCAGCCGAGTCTGAGCTCCTGGATGACAGCGAGGCTTTGGTGTTTATAGTAGCAGCTTCATTGAGAGATTGTACAGCTTTTTAGGACTGCTTTGAGGGGTCTTCTTTCCCACAGGCAGCCCCAGAGAACCTGGGGAAGGAACCAGGGCTCTGCAGGTAAGGTGTTAGTTGACAGACTGGCTCACTGGAGGCACTGCAGAGCCCTTCCTCAGAGGTCACCCTGGAGAAAGTGAAGGCCTTCATATTGAGCTGTCCACAAACCACTCAGCTGTGGAAGAGCATCTGGGACTGACTTTGAGGCCCCAGCCTGCCTCTGACTCTTGGGTGGGCTTTCTTATAGGACAAGCTGACCAATCTGGCCCTTCCTTGTTATGTGTCAGGCATGAAGAAGCCACTGGTCCTAGGCATCTCTGGGAAGCCTCAGGGCCTGCAAGTGACTGTTGCCATCTCTGCAGAGGGTTCTGATAGCAGGTAAGCCCAGGGGATGGGCAGCCACACAAAGGACCAGTGTTGCCCCAGTTCACTCCCAGATGATTCCTGGAGCTGGGGGAAGGCCACAAAGTAGTTCCAGGCCCTCATCACTTGGGGGAAGAGATTGCTTCACCTCTTCCCTGCTGTTGTGTGGCCTTTCTGCACATGGCATGGTGTCTAGGCAGGTAGGAGGTGGCAGGGCTGGGGGCTGTGGGCTCATTGAGTTTCCCCAGCAAGTGGCGGACATGCTGGTCTGCCAAGCAGGAACAGTTTGTATAGAGTTTGAGGCCTCCTGGGGAATCATGTGCAGACGGGAAGGGTGGGCCTGTGGGTTGGTAGCGCTATGGGTGGGAGATTGAGGTCGTGGCCGGTTTTCTTGGCACTATCACCATGGGTGGCCCTCTGAGAAATTCCAAAGATGGTAACCCAGTGCCCATGGGCATGGGGCAGTGTTTGCAGCGCAAAACAGTGGCCAGGCCACCCGGAAGAGCTCCACCTGGACTTTGGCTCGATGGTGCCACTGAGGACCTGTGTGAATCGCCAGCTCATCCTGAATAATCACTCACCAGTTCAGACTTCTTTCACCCTCAAGTTTGAGTACTTCGGGAGCTCTCCGAACAGCCTGAGCAAAAGGAGCAGCTTGTGAGTCTCGTTTCCTTGGAAGGTCATTTCCAGGGCAGATGTGGCCGGGTGGGGTTTACCGCTTACTGGGGAAACTCGGCCCTGTTGGGGATTTTGGTGGCTTAGGTGGGGACATCTGTGATTCCCAGGTAGACATGGGAAATGCAGAAAACATCTGCTGCCCACCTCTCACACTCCAACGAGGCTCTGAAAGAGGCCGGGTTGGTACTGTTTTCCTCAAGTGGCCTCCTGGTGCTGTCTGAGGCAGCCAGAAGGCCTTGTATGAGGGAGAAGAGACTGTGGCAGAGGAAACAGCGGGTAGAAGTGTGGGGATGAGAAGACAGGAGCAGAGAGTGTTCCAGGGACATTGGATTGTGTGCTGGGTGATGTGGAGAGGTGAGGTGAGGAAGAGATGCCCGAGAAATAAGACAGAGACCGGACTCTGAGCTGCTGTGGTCAAAAGCCGAGGCAAGATCTGGAGCTTCATATACAGACACACAGACAGACAGACAGACAGACACACACACGCACACACACACACACACACACACACACACACGGAGTGATGTGCCAGAACCAGCTAGTACTGGCTCAGGAGAACCAATTTTAAATAATCAGGCATTTTTTTACAAGGCTGTAAATTAAAATTAGGCACAGAAAAACTGACAAAAATATATTTATTAATTTTAAAATGCTTTTATTATGTATATGTTTATAATACATGTTGTTTCCATTCATCATAGTGAGTAACTACGTGTATGTAACAAATGTTGATTCTTTTTATTCCCTTTACCTTCCCACCTTCTTCCCTCCCTTTGTCTCTAGATCCCCTTTCCCAGTTTTCATTGTTATTAGTATTATTTAGTTTATGCTTGGGGCGTACAATGAGTACATTCACTGTGGGTAGTTGGTGCAGGTACATGACACATCTTAAATCTTTTTTGTATTCCCCTTCTCCCCTCCTCACTCAGTCTGTTGTCCTCTTCCCATGTGCTAAAGATCTATCTGCCTGCTTCTTTTATCAGTCTTTTATTTTGCTCTTTTCCTTTTTTGTACTTTGGATTTCCCATATGAGAGAAACCATACAGTGTTTAAGCCTGTGTGTTTATTTCAGTTAATATTGTATTTTCAAAGTGCATTTATTTTTCTACAGATGTCTTGAATTTATCACTCTCTATACCCAAATAATATTCGATTGTATATAGATGCCACATTTTCTTTATCCATTTCTTGATGGATGTATGGGATTCTTCAGTGATGTAGCTATTATGATTTGTGCTTCTATAAACATGTATTAGTATAGTATGATGTTTTTAATTCTTTTGTGAAGATACCTAGAAGAAGAATAGCTAGGTTGGATGGAGTTTCTATTTTTAGTTTTTTGAGAAATCTCCAGCAAGACAGACTGGAAATGGGCCCACTGCAGAAGTTTGGGCAAGAGATAATGACACAGGCTGAGTTTGTGTCAGAGTTAATAGAGCACAGAGCCGAGGACAGGGAATCCCTGCCTCAGAACCCTCCTGAATTTCTTAGGAGGTGATCCCTGTAACTTAGGGGGTGGTCTGCAGCTCGGGATGCTTTGGGCAGCAGGGGTACTGTGGGAATAAAGACCAGAACAGGAGATGAAAAAGAGACTTGACTACCCGCTTTCTCTAGGAAGTGCAGTCAGGACCATCTTCTTCTAATGGGCACCAGGTAGGATGCTGTTTACTATGGGACGTAGCTCATCTCTTGGGATAGGCCTGGTTATTTGGTGCTACTTTTTTGTCTCCATGCGTAAAGGTCTGACTTGCCTCCTGCCCTGCTAAAGACAGCACGCATGAGAGAGCACTTGGCCAAGCGAGAACAACTAGGTAAGAAGCAGCCAGAGCTGGGTTTTGCATGATTTTCTGAGGATATGGACCAGTAGCTACCAGGTAGAGGACTGAAACTAGAGAATCCCTCTTTCCCATTGTGGTCCCCCAAATGGCTGTGTTAGTCAGCTTTCTCTCACTACCCAAATACCTGAGAAAAGCAATTTAAAGGGAGGTTTGTATTGGTTTATGATTTTAGACCATGATCAGCTGGCTTTAAAGCAGAAGCATCATAGTGAAAGTGCACATGGAGGAAAGTCACTAATCTCATGGCAGCTAGGAAGCAGAGACAGAGTTAGAGAGCCAGGGAGAGAGAGAAAGAGAGAGAGAGAGAGAGAGAGAGAGAGAGAGAGAGAGAGAGAGAGAGAGACAGAGACAGAGACAGAGACAGAGACAGAAAAGAGCTAGCATGAGAATATATTCTTCCAGTGGCCCCTAGTGATCCTCCTAAACCAGGCCCCACCTCCTAACAGCACACTCAGCTATGGACTCATCAATGCGTTAATCTATTGAAGATGTTGCTCCTATGATCTAATCAATTTTCAAAATCCCCACCTCTCCACAGATGAGTCCTTGGGCTCATTTTTCTTCCAAACTAATATTCTGCCCTGGGCCTCCAAAAGCTCATATTCATCTCATTATACAAAGTGCATTCAATTGATCTTTAAGAGTTGTTGAGATCTCAATTCCAGCATTGCTCAAAAGTCCAAATCAAAAGTCATCTGTGAGACCCCAGTTAAACTCTTGCAAGTCCCTATAAAAAGCTAAATACACATTCAAGATACAGTGGTACATTAGAATGGGTAAACATTTCCATTCTTTTCTTCTCCTCCTCCTCTTTTTTTTTTTTTGGTATTTTTGAGTCAAGGTCTCATTGTGCAGTTCAGGCTGGTTTTGATCTTACTTCGTAGCCCAGGCTGGTCTTGAACTTGCAAAGATTTTCCTGCCTCAGCCTCCCAAGTGCTGGGTTTATAGGCATGTGCCAGCATGCCCAGCTCAACGTTTCCATTCTTGAAGTAATGAGATAGAATAAAATGGACCAAGTAAAGGGGTTCTATTGCAGCTTTGGCCTCACTCCCACAGATTTACAGTTACCCTCTTAGGGTCTTTAAGGATTGTGACCCTGTCACACATTGCCTGGCCTTCTAGGTCTTCTTTTGAAAATGGAGTAGAAGTGTCAGTGATCTCATGAGTCATGCATTCTACGTGCCTACAAAGCCAGCATATGCAGATAATGCCAAGGTCTGCCACCAGCTTCAGCACTGGGTAGCTCACTAGCTAGCTCCCAATGGCTGCAATGGTTTCAAAGTGTCTGGATGGCAGAATCTGGGGAAACACTTCCCTAGTGGCCCCCTGGGGCTCATTTCTCAAAGCAAAATCCTTCAAAGGAATTTATTCTTTTCCACTCTTAAACTCAATTTTTGAGATGCCCTCAGTGCATCTTTCCTATTGTTTTAGTGCAAAATATTTGGTGTCTGTTTAATGGCACTAATCTCCTCAGCAGCTACTCCTTTGGCCCCAACTATACATCTTTCCTGGCCAACCAACAACCAACCTGAGCTTTTGACTGATTTTTACTTCTGATTCTCACTGTGAGTCTGGCTAAAAACATCCATTAATAGACATGCTGCGCCCTGAATGCTGAGCTGCCTTGAAACTTCTTCCACCCAGTAAACCAGTCTATTACCTTTCATCCAGTGTCCCACAAAATATCATGACATAGAAAAATATAGCTACATTCTTTGCCCAAGGGTAGCATGCATGGCCCTTAATCAGTTCCCAGCAGTTTTCATTCTCACCTGAAACCTTATGAGCACAGTTTTTACTGTCTGCATTCCTGTCAGCATTGTGCTCTTCTGAGCTCTAACCAGAGTCACCCATCATGCTTTGCTCACTGAACTCTGGGGCTTTACCAGCCTGCATCTCCAAATCTTTCCAAATTCTTGCAAACCACTTCTGAACGTTTCTGAACCACATCAGTCCTATCATCACAGCATTCCTCCTTGTCTGGTACCAAGTTTTTGTATTAGTTAGATTTTTATCACTAGAACAGCTTTGTATCACTAGAATCACTAGTATCTGACTATACAGCTTAAAGGAAAAAAGATTTGTTTTGGCTAGTGGTTTTAGCCCATGGTTAGCTGGGTTCAAGGCAGTAATATAATGGTAGAAAGGCAGAGTAGAAGAAAGCTGCTCATATCGTGGTAATCAGGAGGTAGAGTGACAGCAAGAGATCTAGAGAGAGGAAAGGCATTAGAATATACACTTCCAGGTTACCCCGGTAACTCCCTCCCTCTAACCAGGCCATAACTTCTAACAACACACTATTAACTGATCAGTGGCTTAAGTGATTGAGGACATTAGTACTCCTGTGATCTAATCACCTTTCAAAAGATTCAGCTGTGAACAGGTGACCCTTTGATGGGAATATTTTTGGTTCAAGCCATAGTAATGGGCATGGCTCTCCACATAACAGTCCACTTCGCTTGAATGAGGCCTTTTTCCTGCTAGTTTCATGTACAGGACCTGGAATTGATTTGGGTTGGGTGTTGAGTCATAAGGGAGGGCTCCCACTAGGACCTCACCTTTCAAGAGGTAAGACAGGTTGGCCAAGCAGGGCACTGAGCAGCTGACCCCTGACACTTTCCTGACAAAGGAGAGGGTGTAGGGTGGCTTGTATGGGACAGTACTTTGCTTATACTTGAGGGTTTGAAACTCCCTGTGAACTTCAGGGCCTTGAATCTCCATTTCTGATTTTTTCTCAGATTTTATGGAAAACATGTTATCTCATGGGAAAGGAGCAGCTTTCTTCCCCCATGTTTCCCAGGGCAAGCTGAGGGCCTACCAGAAGCTGAGCATTAAAATCACAGCTTGTGCCAACATGTGGGGCGAGTACTGGGACAGCCTCGTTTGTATGGTAAGGGTACCTAGCTGGGTGTGCACCTCTGGATTTCTTCTTTTCCAACACTCAACCCTCAACCTTTCAAAGCTCACTAAGTGATGGGCATTCATAATTGCTGTAACCTCTGGGACTGAGGCCAACGTGGTTCAGGCCAGACAGATCCCTATGAAAAGTAGAGTTTTCTGTACCTTTTCCCATGAGATTCAAGACTTGGACCCCACCAAGGACACATGAATCAGCAGGCTCCCTGGCTAAGTCAGGACCCAAGTCCTGGAAAAGGGTGTAAGAGGTGGAGGGCTAATCACAGCCTCTCCATGTCATGTCTTTGCCTGGTCTTCTGTGCAGTGGTCCATTCATTTATTCCTTTACTCAGCAAATATTGGGCCTCTAACTGTATTTGGGCTCCTGAGCAGGTACTAAGGGGATAGATGGATGAGTAAGATTGAAGATGGTGCCAGGAAAGAGCTCTGAGTTTGCTGTGGAGAGATGAAATGTGCATGTATTATGCTACACTGTTTAGTTATTGCATAGAAGATTTTCATGAACTATTTAGTGAGTTACAGTAGACATTTGTTTTAAGTTGCCTTGTGTTATGTGATTGATTGTGTTAATCAACAAAGAATTACTGTATTTAAGTAACAGTAAGGAAGAAATAAGGCATTCCAGTGGGCAAAGGGTTTGAACAGGCAGCTCAAAGTTAGATAAATCCAGCTGGGTAAGATGATGCATGCTTGTAATCCCTGTATCCCAGCACTCTGGAGGCTGGGACAGGATGATTGCTGTGAATTCGAGGCCTGCTTGTGCTACATATGTGAGTTCAGGGCCAGCCTGAACTACATAGTGAGATACTGTCTTAGAAAAACCCAAACAACAAAAAATCCAGATGGCCAATAAACACAAAACTATTTCACCATCACTAGTAATTAAAGAAATGCAAAGTAAAATGCTTCTGAGCCCAGTGGGTAAAGAGGTGCTAAGCATTCAGCCGTCCTTGAAAGCACTTTGGGAGTGTGCTAGGGACACATTACAAGCATTCCAAAGAGAGAAATAGCTTACTGTACAAATGACTTCATACTAGGTTGCCTCTTCTTCTTAGAATTGTGTATAATGGGGAAGGTTGCTTAATGATTTGTGACCATCATTGGAGAAGTGGGTCACACCATTGGACTACACACATCTCCACAGTGGAGTTCTGTGAAGCCCATCCTGTAATGCTATAAACCCATCTCAGTAAAATCTTGTAAACTATTAAGAGAGAAGGCTACTAATGAAAAGGAGTTGGGTCTGCTTCCCATTTATATCTTTGTCTAAAATGGAAACACAGATGTAATTATAAGTAACTATCACATTCTTATGTTTTCTCTTAAAAATAAGCAAGTATTTTAATTACCAGAGAAAATTATAAAGTTATTTTCATTTAAAAGATATAGAAATTTTTGTTAAAGAGGTTGGGGCCAGAGGCCCTCCGTGTGGGAGATCCGTGCAGGCAGGACATTGGGAGAGAGAGCAAAGGTGGCTGAAGGCAGGGAAGCCAAGGTAGGGCGGGGAGGGAAAGGTGACCTGTGCTGGGGTGTCTGGAGTAGGAATCTGACAGTGAAGACTGAGGCTGAGCCCAGCGGTGACCAAGTGTGTGGGCTGGTTGGACAAGTGAGGGCTTTTCTTGGAGGAAATGGCAGTGGCAGCTGGTAAAGGTGACAGTGGGCCATGTGTCTGCAGGTGGGAAACTTACCACCAGCGGTCATCCCAGTGCACATGGCAGCAGTGGGCTGTCCCATCAGCTCCCTAAGGACCACCTACTACACCACCGACTGCTTGCAGAAGGAGCCTGTCATCAGGTACCTGCCCTTAGCCTCATCCTCTGCTCTTCGGTGGCTTCCGAAACCCTCTGGCCTCTGGTCTGGGCTGTGCATGCCACTTTGTTGTTCTCTAGCTGGCCCCTACAGCAAGTCCCCAGGACACGGCTGCCGTCTGTATGTGTTTGAGTGGGGTGTGGTGTGGAAGTAGTGAGTAGTCAATGTGAGAGGGACCCCAAGGCTGCTCACACAGATGAGCTGGGAGCAGATTGGAGAGCAGTTTGGGAAGTGAGGGATGGGTTGCCATAGCAGTGAGAAGCCCCTGATTACAGCCTATCAGACACCACAAGGGGAAGTCCTCTGGCCATGGGGCTCCTTGTTGCTGGGATGAGGACAGAGCAGGTGGTGCCTCCACAGCCAGGTCCCTATCCAGTGCTCTTCTCTGAAGTGTCTCTGCCTGTAGATGCTTGCTGAATCTGGTCTCCTGCCTCAGGTTGGGGACCCACATCTCTGGAGGAGACACAATCAGACGGACCATTCGCCTGTATAACTCCAGCCCCTGTGGTGAGTTGCTCACAAGAAAATGTGGAATGATCAGCCTGGTGGGGAAGGAAGATGGTGCTGGGGGAGCTGATGGCTAGAGCGGAGTCCAGGTGGCAGGTGGCTACTAAAGAGGTCCCTTGAGGGCCAAGGTTGGGAGGTGACATGCCAATACAGGGTTGTCAGAGAATTCTTGAAGACAGGACTTACCCTTGCCCAGCTTACCCTTGCTTAGTATTTGTGGGACCAAAGAGACTTGCTGTTTTCAAGGTCACTGTGCTTAGGGACAGTATTTAGAGAGGATTCCTTTTCTTATTACTTCAGCCAGCAGGACCTGCACCATAAAATCACAGAAAATGAATAAAGCACACACAAAAAACCACATTGTAAATTTTAAAAAGATGGAAGAAATATATAGATTGGCTGGTTTTTCCCATGAAAACAGAGAATTTCAGGTCATAATTTTCAAAAACAGAGCTGTCTATTTTTAATCCCAAACACTAAAATCATCATAAAGGATGAAAGCAGAAGGATAGGTAAGGAGATACCAAGTAAGCACCAGCAAGATGCCAAGGGTAGCAAGTTAATAGAAGACAATGTGGATTTAATGATGTGGTATGATAGAAGACTCAAGTTATGAAAAAAAGCTCCCGTGTTCGAATGCAGTTCTAACAATAGACCACCTAAAAACAAAGCAAAACTAAACTAAAAATACCTAAAAATAAAGCAAAACTACCTAAAAATAAAGCAAAACTACTAGAAATGCAAGAAGAAACTGATTTTTAAAAATCTAATTTGAGGGTAGACTTTAACAAACTTTCACAAGTTCACAGATCTGGTAGCCAAAAATAAGCTGTCCTAAAGTAGCAGTTATTTGCTATGGCTGCACCTTCCTCCCATCCAAGGACTAACCAGGCCCAACCTGCTTAGCTTCTGAGATCAGATGAGATCGGGTGCGTTCAGGATGGTATGGCCGTAGGCAAGGCTGCACCTTCCTTAGACTCATTCAAGAAACTTAACCGTCAGCGCCAGGCCCTGTCCATTAACAGTAAACAGGCCCTGTGAGTCCAAGCCTCAAAATGCTTTAAGTGCTCCTCACAGAACTCTGCTGTGGCTAGGCTGATTGTGCCACTGCCCTCAAGTCTCTGAGCACCTGCAGCACTTCCTGTGGCCCAGAATCACTCCTCCAAGCCAGACTGGCTTATCTTTCCTCCTAGAGTCTGCTTCTATGCACCCCTCCAGTGGAGTGATGCATCCCCCAGCATACTGGCTTCCTACACAGTCAAACTCAGGGCCTTCGATGACCACAGTCGGGACAGAAGCTCTAGGCAGAGACCCCACTGTCCTGCTCCCTCTGCTCTCCCAGCCTCTGCACAGCACACTTGCATTTTTAAAATTTACAATGTGTTTTTTTGTGTGTGTGTGATTTATTTTCTGTGATTTTATTCTGTTTTCCTCTGTTTATTTCAGGCTTTCTCTTTGCTTTCCTTCTCTCTAGTAGTTTCCTTGGGCTCACAGTCACATGTATGTTTCTTTCTCTTTATTGGAGGTGAGATTGTCCACTCATCTTTAGGGCATAGTAGAACAGGTGACCATTGTAAGAAGTAGGCTCTAGCTAATAAGCATAAAAACTCAGGAGTATCAGGCCTGACAGGTACTGCCCAGGGCAAAGCCCAGCCCCTGGCCTTGTAATGTTGACTGGGGAGTGGGTGAGAGATGAGTACAAGGGGGAGGCAACTTTTGACTAATTGGTCCTGGGAGCTTGTTGTGAAGGGAGAGAGGGGCACTGAGGAGGTGAGAGGGCAGAAGGAAGCTTACACATGATGGGGAAGCAGCTAGACAGGGTTCAAGCTGGTGATAGAGGAGAGAGGGGATGCTAGACATTATACAACCCAGGGCATGCACCACATTCAAGGCAGGAGAGGAGGACAGGACAACTGCAGACAGATGTGTAGGTTTGGGTCAGGATTTCAGGACACTTCTGGGAAATGGAGTGGGGGTACTTGTAGGCATCAGGGAAGCAGATGGAGGTGACAGAGGAGATGCAGGATGTTTTGACATTGTCATGGTGGAGAGGGAGAGCAATGTGAGGCCCGGTTTAGGTTGGGGACAGATGTAGAGGGTGGCTATCTGTTCAGCTTGGAGGACTTTCTCCAGTGGCTTTTCCAGATGGGTGGAAGAATGGGCACCAAAGGGAGATAGGAGGTTGCTAGTAAGGTGGAGGTTGAAATGATGGACTCTCAAAGACTAGGCTGGCTGGGGAGGGAAGTGAAAGCAGATAGGGGCTGACGGGTAGAGGGAGAAGGTAGACGATATGGGATTGGTGGTCGCAGGGGGGACCAACTGTCAGCAAACTGGCCAGAGAGAGAGGGAGCTGTGAAGCAAATGGAGTGCCTGAGTTTGTGTGTACACGACAGCCTGATCCTGTGATAATGCGGGCATTGGATGATTCAGCCAGGTGGTCTAGGCCTACAAAGATGCTTTTCTTTAAAAAACAAGATGAAACAAAACATGAGAATTGCTTGGGGATGGCATTGGACAGTGCATCTCTTCTTCATGCTGAGTAGGAGAAGACAGGTGAGTGGAGACCAGGGCAAACCCAACCCTCTTTCCTGTTTCTCCCTCACATATACCTCAGACATCCGCCTGGATTGGGAGACATATGTGCCAGAAGACAAGGCGGACAAGCTGGTGGAGTTGCGGGTGTTTTATGGGCCACCTTTCCCTCTGAAGGACCAAGCTGGGAATGAGATTGTATGCCCTGAGAAGCCCAAGAACAGCAGTTTACTTGGGCTTCTGTCCCCCTCCAGTGTGTCAGAGGTCAGCCATGCAACTGCCCCATTGGTGAGCAAGGGTTCAGGGGTGGACAAGCTGGCCACCAAGGGTCACTGACTTGGGGCCTCAGTGACTCTTTGGCTACAGGTGGAGGGCCAATCCAGTGCCAGTGATGGAGCCACAGAGCACATCATCTCAGTCATCCTGCAGGAGCATGAGGGGGTGCCTGCCCATCACCTGTTTAGTGTCAGTCCAAAGCAGATGGTGAGTCAGGCAGGGTTGGGAGAGGCCTCATGGAGTCTGCACTGGCCACCTACTGGGCACAGGTCAGTACTAAGGCTGTTGTGTCTGTGCCAGGTGGTCCCTGCTGGGGGCAGCAGCACCATCTGCATCTCCTTCTCACCCATTGTGCTCATCCCTGACACTCTGCACAAGGTGGCATGTACTGGCTACATCCTGGGCTATATGAGCTTGGACAACAAGGTGAACCCTCCTCACCTGGGATAAGCATGGGCCACTGCTTCTGTCTGGGTAGCATACTGTCCACTCAGCCCAGGACCAACAGGACCCATGATGGATTTGCTTTGGTAGGAGGAAAGAGATATTCCAGGGCAGAGACATCGGCTGCAGGACTTTGCTGTAGGACCCCTGCGACTGAACCTGCATGGCTTTGTGAGGCGTGCCCAGTGAGTTGGCTGGGCTGCCCCATCCTTCTCCATCCCCGGAGGAGTCAGTTAAGAGTCTGCAGAGCCTAAGGACAAGAATGAGAAGGAAGAAGGGCCAGCAGGGAGCCAGGGGAAAACTAGGCAGCGGTCAAGTGCAGAGAGAAAGGGTGGCCAGGAGGCCCTGGATGCCTGGGGGCCTTAGTGGTATCTATTGCTGGGCAGGCTGAGTGTGGAGCTGGATGACAGCAGCAGTGTGGAGTTCCGGTGCCAGGCCAGTGACCTCATCCCTGACCAGCCCTGCGCTGGGGTGAGTGTGCTGCCACTCCTGGCCCTGCCAGGTAGTCCGAGTATTCCCCACTCCCCCTTTGGAGAGAGGTGGAGGCATGCTGACCTCCTTATCTCTGTGGCTGCCCAGGTGCTAAGTGAGCAGCTGACCACCCAACAGCTGAAGCTGGTCAACACCACAGAAATCCCACAGTACTTCCAGCTGTTGGTCTCCAGGCCCTTCTTGGTTTCTCAAGCTGCAGTTAGCCGGGGCCACAGAGCGGGCTCTGACCAGGAGCAGGAAAGTGAAGAGGAGATGGCCCCCGTGAGCAGGCAGCTGGTACTGCACCCGCAGGAAAACATGCTGGTTAGTGGAGGCGCCCTGGCCCTTGCTGCGATGCACACACTCACACAAGCGTGCAGACAGCAGGAATGGCCCTGCTCCAGGTGTCCTCCCGCCGGACACGCTATCAGTACACACAGACCCTCTGTCCAGTGACTCACATGTACGTGGGTGGACCAGATCCAGTGCGCACGGCCACACGTGCTGCAGGAGCACAGCCAGGCCCCTCTGTGTTCTCCGTAGAGCCAGGCTCAGGCCCCTGCGAGCCCCTCCACTTCATCTCCATTCCTTCCTTCTCATGTGTCTTCGCTCAAGGTTTGTTCCCAGATCGGGGCTGCCCCTGGTTGGATTACCATAAATGTGAGGCCTTCTGGGTCCCAGGGCGATTTCTTCCTCTTCTAACAGGGCATCAGTGATAATAGGAATTTGGAGTTTCGGAGATGGAGGGGATGGTGGGGTTCTGGGAATGCCAAGGTGGCAGTGGGAGCCATGAACTTCTGGCACCGGAATGGAGATAAGAATTAGGGGTCTTAGGGTGTTTGGTGTGTAAACATCCCTATTTGCACAGAGGCTCCCAGGGTGGGTACCAGCTTACCAAGAACAGCCAGCCAGTCTGTGGATCTGCGCCTCTCTTCCACCTCTCCTCCTGATACAAGGCTCTTTCTCCTGTCCTTGGAGGGCTTCCCTCTCTGCTCCAGCTGGACTCTGGCCTTGGTCTGCACATTCCTGGGTCATCTCATCTACTTGCAGAGTCTCAGTGGGCAGCCATATTCTCTCTTTCAAATGTGTCCTTCACTATCTATGTGGTGAGTGCCTGCCACCAGCTAACTGATGGAACTCTCCAAGAATCTCCTTGTGGAGGTGGGGGAGACAGGCACAGATCACCAGGAGACAGTAAGAGTCCTCTTAACCACACTGTCTTGGCTCCTTTCATCAGAGAGCTAAATGGAGGGGAAAGTCCAGACAAGCCTGCATTGTCTTCCACCTGAGGTTCTCCAGGAGACGCTGGGGTTAGCAACCAAGATGTTTAAAAATCCCGGGCTGGACATGTAGCTCAGTAGTGGCATACTTGCCTAGCATAAATGAGGCCCTGGGTTGATCTCTAGTACCTTACTCAAAAAAGAAACATGAAGAAATAAAATAAAAATCCTTGGGCAGCTGAGGAAACCAAAATGTGTGTAGAACGAGCTCATTGTGTTGTGGTAGTGCATCTCACCATGTGTGTGCAGGTGAGCAATGCCCAGCATCTGGCATCTGAAAATTCTCCCCTCAGTTCTTCACCCAAACTCAGCCTGCAGCACCGAATTCTCCATTCCCCTTGAGACCCTGGCCTGCCCATCTGTGCCTTCTCTCTCTAGGGGCATTTTATCTCAGTTCATAAAGCCCCTATACCCCATTCCCAAACCAGCGCTCTAGCCCCCTCATCCTAGGGTGCTTGCTCACTGACTAGTCACCATGTCCATGAGTGCTCCTATGAAGGTTCAGCACTTTTTACTTCTCACCTCAAATCCATATCTTGGTCTGGGACAGTGGTTTCCAATCCTGGCAATATATATAAGTAGCCTTTAGAAAAGTTGTCTCAAATACAGGCTCTCAGGTTCCAGTTCTAGAGATGAGAGGGTCTGTGCTGAGGCCCAGGAATCCAATTTTTTTTAAACAAACGCCTCAGTTGATTTTAATGAGCTAGCACCCAGGAACTGTCTTTGGGAGTGAGGAGTCCCAGCCCCATCCTGTTTGGCCTAAGTTCTGGTCTTGGCCTCCTGACTGCTGTCTTTAACCCACTTGGGCTCCCTCTGCCCATATCCCCCCTGGAAGGCAAAGCTAACTCTGGTACCCCTACTTCAAACCCACTTACAGGTCCTTTATGGTCCTCAGGATAAAGTCAAAGTGCTTCCTTGGCCTTATAGGGCTGAACCTCAGTCTTCATTGTGTCAGGTGGAGAAGGTTGTTTGCTTATCCTCTCTTTCCCTCCAGCCTCTGGTTCTTGAAGGCAGGCAGCACTTCTGCAGGATCAGGGTGCCCGGTACAGACCAGGTGCAGGGCAGTGCTTGTGGGATGAGTGCACAGGTGGGGGCACTTTGAGACCAGGTTGGATCCTGAAAGCTGTGCTGGGCAGGGCTGAGCAGAAGAGAAGCAGGACCCAGCTCCAGGGCCTAGAAGTGACCCTCCTGCCCTCACTGGCCTGAGATGGTGCATGGCAGGCAATTCTGCTTCTCGGCAGGTGAATGTGTCCTTCTCACTCTCTCTGGAGCTGATCTCCTACCAGAAGCTCCCAGCTGACCAGATGCTACCCAGAGTGAACATTCAGCAGAGCTCGAGTGGAAAGAAGGAGATGGTGTTCACTCAGGATCTGCTGTTGGAGTTCCCCAACCAGACCACTCAGGCAAGTGCCGGGACCTGAGTGGGCTCGGCTGTGTTGGGATGAGAAGATAGCAAAGCAAGGAGCCTGGCCCCTGCCCTGAGGGCACAGTCTGCCCTGTGCACTGAGAGAGGAGAGCCATCCATCCTTACCTGTCTCAGAGAAAAGTGAGAGGCTGGAGGGCAGGAAATCCAGGAAGGCTCCCTGGAGGAGGTGACAGATGAAATGTGTGGACTGAATAATCAAGGGAGAAGGGAAACTATGTCCACAGATGTAGGCTGAGGGAATGGCCTAGGGGTGGGGAAGGGGACAGTGAATACCTGAGGTAGCTGTGAACACCAGAGTGAGCTCTGCTGACCACAAGGTCATGGTAAGTGCTGTGCAGCCCAAGGAGGCTGGAGGCTGGTACTGCAGGTGCGCTGTGTGAGCGAATGGCCTGGGGGAGATTTTGGAGGCAGAATAATGTGGGGCAGGGCACTTCAGCCCTGAGGCCTAGCAGCTCCTGGGGCTGGGAAGAGAGGCTGTGTGTCACAGTGGCCAAGGGTGCTGCCAGTGCTGCCAGAGCTAGAGTAGGGTGTGGGGTGGGGACCTTAGGGCCAGATGGCCCACCGCCCAAGGAGCTGCAGGTTGGGTCTTGGGCTCCATGGCAAGAAAGAGGGAGGAAGGATACAGATGGAAGGAAGTTGGCCTGAGGGAGAGCTGAGCACAGATCTCCACAGTGGGGATGGTGGACTTGGCCTGTCAAACCCGGGCTTTTGATGACAGTGCCAGCTTCCTGCCCCTGCTGTGCTGTGATTCCCCTTACTCAGATCATAGCTATGGGCCTTTGGGGCCAGCAAGATTCCCTGTGTCCTAGCTAAGAGCCCCACTGCAGTGGACAGCGTTACTCCTTCCCCTGCCAAGTCAAAATTTCTGTCCCCTAGGTGGTGCCCTTGAGGGCCATAGTGGCTGTGCCTGAGCTGCAGCTCTCCACCAGCTGGGTGGACTTTGGGACCTGCTTTGTGAACCAGCTGCGGTCCCGGGAGGTTGACCTACTGAATCTGAGTGGCTGCCGGAGCTACTGGGCCGTGCTGATGGGTATGACATGCCCTTCTACCTACCCACTTGCTTCATTGTGGAGGCTGAGCCAAGCCTCCCAGGAAGGGGCTAATGTGACCTCTCCCTTCAGTGCCTATGGGTGGCACTACCTGTCATTCCTGTAGAGATGACCAGTGCCCAGTGCCAGGTAGAACCTGGGTTGCCTTGCCCTGCCAGTGGTGCTTGCAGGACCAGAGATGACACCTGAGAAGCAGGGCAGGCCTGGGGTCATATGGTGTCTTCCAAGACAATGCAAGGAGCCTGGGTGCCCTCCTTTCCTCTTGATGTAGGACAGCAGGAACCAGACAAGGAAGCAAAGGCCTTTGGGGTCTTCCCAAGCAGTGGATTGCTGGAAGCCCGAACCACCAATGCTCCACCAACCTCCATCACCCTGCAGGTGTCCTTCACTCCCAGGTACAGCCTCTCCTGGACTCCTTTCAATGACCAAAGGCTGAGGGCTCCTGCCCAGGCACTCTTGACTAGCCCTTCCTGCTGCCGTAGGAGCACTGAGCTGTATGAGTCCACATTGGTGGTGGAAGGCATGCTTGGAGAGAAGACTTGCACCCTGAGGCTGCGGGGCCAAGGCTCTTATGATGAGAAATACATGGCATCTCACTAGCTCTGAGGGTCTGCTCTCCCCTCTGCCTCAGCCCCAGGTGAGGGAACAAACATGGCCCAGGGCTGGGGAGAGGTCTGCTGGGTCATGGCACCGACTGAGGGGTTCTGAACAGCTCCTGGAGGGGAGGAGCCCTCTCTGGGGCAGTGGTCTCAGCTGAAGCTGAAACATGTGTCCCCAGATTTAACACAGAAGAGAGCCATGAAGGTCATGGCATTTAAGATTTGCTACTCAGAGCACAGAGAAGACCAATGAGGCAAGATCTGGACTTTGGAAAAAAACGCCACCAAGATGAGATCACAGACATTTACTCTCCATGCATCGCTCATCCACAAAACCACCCTCCTCCAAGAGTTAGAAGACCTACTGGCCTGGGTGACCATGCTAACTTTTCCTAGCTAGAGGCCCTGACAGAAGTGACACAGCATCCCCACTTACTCCCACATGGTATTATCAGTGTTCACCTTTTCCAAATTGCTGAAGTGTCTTGATTTGCTGAATGTGCCATGTGACTTTCCTTCTTTAGTGTGCCTCTTTGGGGACCAGTGCAGGATTGTCTACATAACTCACAGGCCATAGCCTCAGTTCCCAGGATACTCAGATGTCAATGGTTCCTATGCTGGTCCTGGTACTTGTGGACACCCCTCCATATTCTCTGGAAATGATACTATGGTAGCTTGGTAGAGGCATGCTAGGCTGAGGCCCAACTACCTCTCCCCTGACAGGGCTTCTATCATGGACCAGGACCCTCCTGGTGACAGAGGATGTAAAACTAGCTGACCAGATATGTGGGAAGATTGTTTCCTTAAGTGTCCACTTGGGCACACACTCAAGGTGGCAGATTCCTTTTGCAGCCAGAGTTGCTCACCAGGCTGACCTCAGGGAGGACACAGATAACACTTCTGTAGCTCAGTGTCTGTGTGTGGGTGTTCACTTCTCCAACCCTGACCTGCCCAGATCCAGACTTGGCCATACCCAGCACACCCTGAGTTACATAGACTTACCTCTTCCTATGACTCTTTAGCTGTTTGAGCAGCATAATAATCTGTTGTGTCTGTGTGCAACTCAGAGCCACTGAACCATCCCAAAGGACTCAAGTTCTCAGAGGAGATACCCACTTATCCAGGAAGTAGGTGCTCAAGAAGAAGCCAGAGCAGCAGCTGGAGCCTCTGTCCAGCCTTTGCACTATTTGCCTGGTTGCTCCCTCTGGGCTGGCAAGGCTTAGGCAAAGGAAGAGACAAAGGCTCACCGTGCTTGCAAAGGTCTCATTGATCTCAGAGATGTCAACATGATTTGCTGTCAGCCCTGCAGGCAAAGTATGGACTAGCTGGCAGTGGCCTCTGGGCAGGGCTGTGGGTCTCCTTGGGCTCTGACCCATGTAAAGGCCCACAGGTGTCCAGTGTGTCTACCTCTTGTGGAAGGGTAACTAGTCCAGTTGTGGGAGTCATAAAGGCTCTGGGAATAGGTGCTGGCCTTTGCTTTATAACACCCACAGGGTCACCCCCAGTGTTTTCTCAAGCTTCCTATGCAAGGCAAGAGGGGGATCCAGGTCTAAAAAGTGATGGCGCCATCTTACCTGCCTTTGTGAAACTACAAGGATGAGGTAGGCAAACCCATGTTGTCAGGTAGAAACCCAACCACTGCACAGGACCTCAGGACTGGGGAGACCTAACTCTTCTGTGTTGGACCTCCAGGCCAGCAAGATAGCTGCTGCCCCATCATTCAACTGGCTAGAGTTTCCTAAGGGTAAATGTTTGGGAAGAGGAAGTATCAGGGTGAGGCACCCCAGTCCTCTTACTGTTGCCTTGCTGAGGGTCCAGGTCAGCACCAAGCTCCCAGAAGAATGGCCAGCCTGACCTTGTCCCAGCCCAGCCCAACCTGGTCTCACCAATTGTGGTAGTGCTTCTGTCCTTGAAGGCAGGCTTCAGCTTGGCCTTGCCCTCTCCCGAGACACGGTGATGCTCTTCTTGTAATCAAGGATGGTGGTGGTAACAGGCACAGTGGCACTGTAGAAACAGCCCCTGCTCAGGGCAGCCTTTGCTGCCCTGTTAGCCCTGTGGATGTGCAGGCTCAGGCTCTCTTGGGGTAACCCTTTGCCCTGTTTCCACTTTGCTTATTTGGGTAGACACAACGTTAGGCCTCAGAATTTGGGATCATACCTCAACCCATGGGAGCTCTGAGGGACTACTGGGGTTCCTCATGACTCCATTTCCTGGAGTCAGAGGCATTCCTGTGTCATCCTGGGGCTGTTCTACTTTCAACCCCAGAGTGGTACATCGGGGCCAGTGGCATCCTTAAAGCATATGGGGGAACTTTGGAATTGGTGCCTCTGCCCTGGAGGGACTAAGTGCTTGGTTGTTTTGACTAGAGGGAGGCTGGAGCCTCAGGAATATTCTTGCTGGATTGTGTTAACTTTCCTGTTTGACACCAATGCCTAAATTTCTCCTTTCCTCCAGTTTCCCTAAATTGAACATGGCAGGTAACTACGCACTAGATATATTTCCCTACTTACACAGTTTTGAAATAGATGTTTTATGAGGGTGAAACTTTTGGTCAGATTCAAAATGTAACCACTCATAGACTTTATAATGGGAAGGAACCATAGTTGTCAACAAGTGCTCACATACTCACCTGGCCACAAGAAGCTAAGAATCCCTGCCTTGGAGAGGCCAACTGTGTGAACGATAATCCCATTCCTCTGTCACTGCGTCTCTGGAAGATTGGGGTTGGAGTGGCTTAGTCCACCTCTGCTTGAAGGGCTGAGCAGCTTGGTTTCTCTGATGTGAGCATCAACCCTGGTGGATGAAGTAGCTTCCCTAGATCCAGATCTGCAGAGGCTAGGATGGCAGGTCTATCATATTTCTGGCCTCAGGTTGAAGGCCTCCAAGTTGGCTGGTGGCTATCATATCCAGTCACCACACAGCAGCCAGTTAGAGATTACTGAACAAAGGAAATTCAGGCTTATCTAGATAGAAGACACTCTGAGACACTTGTGTGAACAGTCAGAAGATCAGAAGAGCCATGAACCACAATGGCTGGGTCCTTTTCCACATCCAACTGGAGGCAGGAGCCTTGCAAAAACCTCATGGGGTTCTGTATCCTCAGAACTGCCCCACCACAGACCAACTAGGTTGGCCTCACCTCTTTCTCCAGGCTTTTTGATGTTTCTCCCTAAGATGCTGGAAAAATACTGCTGGGAGTTCAGTGCACAGGTGGCAACCTGCTTCTCCTGGGAAATGCCAAACTACCTAGTTCTCTGAGGTTATCCTAGCACACATCACTAAAGCATGTGGGCATGGGTCTGGTACCCTGCAAACTAGGCTTGGCTAAAGATTTGTGCTTGGGAGTTTGTACTTCTCGGGCCATTGGGAGGGAGGCCAATCCAACCACACAGACACTGGAAGTTGCCAATACTGGCCAGATCTCTACATACTCATACCCCAAAGACAATCTCTCCAAGAAGGAGGGAAGACCACATACATGCATCCATGGAAAACCCTCTCTAGGTGGTCTGCGTCAGCACGGAGAGGAGATACAGTAAGGTTTGGTGGCCCCCTCCTCTCCAGCTTCTATATGGCTTTCCAGGATGTCCCTGAAGATACAATTTGTGAAGCAAGGCTGGGTATTGCCACCTCACAGCTTCTTCACCCAACAGTCTTCTCAGATGTCCTTTTGTAGCCCTAACAGCCTGTCTGGGGTGGTGCTGTTGGCCAGAGCTCAGGGACACTGAATGCAGAACAAAGTGCTGGATAAATGCAACATGCAGTAGTTCCCTTCCTGTATCTGACAGGACCCTGTGTATGTAGGAATCAACAGCTCTCCCTGTTTTCTCAACTCCTTACCCACTCTGCTGGTAACATTGACCTGGCTTTAGTACTTGAGTGAGGGACTGAGAAGGTAGGCTATGGTTGAAATGCGGAGGCTCAGAGAGACCTGAAAACACTGGGAGCTCAGAGAGACCTGAAAACACTGGGAAGGGAAGCCAATGGCAGCATTAAGTGTCATGGCCAGCTTTGTTGCCGAGCTGTTGACACCCAAATGTAGAAGGCTAAGATTTGGCACAGGCAGTCACAGAGATGAGCATGTTGCTTGTCTCTACTCCAGGACAGGCAGACGGGTGCAGCCATATGGAGCTGTGAGTGCCCATTAGGATGAGACAATCTCTGGCCTTCTCATTCTCCAATAAGAATGAAGTAATATTTTCAGGACTCCTCTCTCACCCAGGGTCACAGACTCCATCCTGGGGAGGAGAATGAGAACAGGATGGATCTGAGCCCTCAGGAACCCTCAGGGATGACTGGACTATAGCAAGAGCTGGAAAATAGGCCAAGAGCACTTGTGGGGTCTCTGGGTTTCTGAGAAGAACTGGAGTTTTTGTGGGCAGGAAGGTAGAGCTCTGTTCTACCTCCACCCTGACAGAGAATTATACAGTCTGCTCCTGGGCCCAGGGTCACACATCCCAGCAGAACTGCTGACCCAGCTAATTATCATTTTCTTAGGATTGCAGGACACACATGCAATGTTTCCTTGTGGAGACAAGGAAAAAATACTTTAGGGTGAGCACAGCTCAAGTCCAACACTAACCTGACCTGTATAGATGTGACATGTGATAGACTGAGAGGAAGGAGAGGTGGCCAGTGCACAGGTCAAAAGTGGCTAAGAGACAGCACACAAGGCCTTGGGAATACCAGACACACTTGACTGAGTAATTTCCTACCTCCAGCACCAGTTACAGATTTGTGATACAAGCTCCATGATATTAGACGTAATTATGGTTTCATTTCATACTCTTATGAACCATGGTAGAGCCGAGGTAAAAATCCTCTTTTATGATGAGGATACTGATGTCTTTGGTGTGGAGGAAATTGTGCACGCTCCAGAGGGAACAGCTATTTAAGTGGTTTGGCCCCAGAACTCACTATGATCTCACATTTCCTGGGTGACTCCGTATGCTGAAACCCTTCAAGATCATCAGATTGTGACGTTCGTGTCCTCCTGGCTAAGATCCTTAGTAACGTAGCCACCTGGTCATTAACTTTCTTGGAATCAAAGCTTCCTATAAAACTCATAAAGGCTCCAGTTCCTCTCTTCAAGTTACAAGCTGAGGTGCTTAACAATACTGTGCTCTCCTTGCTCTCTCCTGGTGTCCCTGGAACAGGAAAGCTACAAAGGGCAGTCTGGTCAGTGGCCTTCGACTCATGAGACTGCATGTGTGTAAACTTGGCTGTCTTTCAACTGAGGGACAGATCAGGACAAATCCAGTGACAATCATCCCAATCTGGCTAGGAGCCATCAAGTTTTCTTGTCAACACATACTGGACAGAGGAGATAAGAGGCAGCATGAGCTTCTTGTAAGAACGTGGGCTGCTTGTCTTCCATGTGTGCCAAAGACTCCCTCAGTCTGCTTGTGTAACACCAGACACCTCCAGTTTGGGCTTTTACACTCTGCCCTTTCCTAGAGGGACTGGGAAATACCTCCTCTCTGGGTCATGCCCTGCAGACAAAGATGAAGCCTCTGTCTAGGTAGAGGTTACGGTGACCAAATAGAGATCTTAGCATGTATCTCAGAACACAGTAGATGACCAGATACTTCCAGTTTGGGAATAAGGAAACAGCCTAGTAAATAGTAATGACTCGTCACTGCTTTTAAGAAATGGACTCTTCACTTTCAGCAACATCATTACTTTAAAAAGTTACACAAGAAAGGTTGTATGCTATGTGTCCCCACATGTTGCACTCTGAGACTTCCATGAAAGAAAGCCAAGAGGAAAACTCTCCTCACTCATCACTGTTGAGAAATGAGCCATTCTCCAGGAGCCTGATTTGGGACCATTCTTAGGCTGCATTTGAGGGACCTCACTCCTAGCCAAATGCCCAGAGAGCTAAAGGAGAATCCTTCCATCACAGTTCTTGGAAACTTAGGAGAGGAACATTACTTTGAATATCACAGTTGGTTAGTAAGCTCCAGCAAATAGAAAGTCTTACCCATGTTATAAGACCCATTTCTTATTCCACCTGCAACAGAAGCATTTCATAAACATCCTTGGTCAGAGTTTGTGTGTCTTGGGGGCAGCAGAGCCCCTTACCCACCTTTTTATTGTCAGTGAGCCCAGCTTCAGAACCAGAAGACCTAGAAGGACTTTCAAAAGTCTTGGAGCTCCTGCGCTCCCTACATACTTAAGAGCCCTTGCAGCAGTCCTGCTGCTGGGTCAGCAGCCACTGGGGAAAGCAGCAGGGGAAGGCTGGGGCCGACACACAACCCAGTCACAACTTACCAGCTATGCTGGCCACTGCCTGAGCCCAGATGAGCACTGCCTATTGACAGTAAACAGAGGGACAGTCTCTGGAATGCTACTGCAAGAGATTTTGAGGTGAAAGTCAAGTACTTGCCATGGAGAGGTCTCACCTAAGCCTTTCTAGTCACCCCATGACTGGACCCTCATATTCCCACTGGGATAAAGATCTTCCTTGGGGACCACTGTTCTAAAAGCTCTTGTTCTAGGGTTTTTCAGGCTTTCACACTGGGGCCATCCGTTGAACCTAGGCCAGATAATCTGCCTTTGCTGACAGAACAAAGGCCTGGGGATGTTTTCAGGCCCCCTTCATACCACTCTGAATGAATATATCCTGATGGCTCTGGTGTGCAGCAAGGTTTGTAAACCTCTGGGCTAGGGTCAGAGCCAGACTATGCAGGAAATTTTGTAGGTAGATGGTTTCCTAGACCTTTTGAACTCCTCCCAGGTACCCTAATTTTAGAGAAGAGGTTGTGCCCTCAAATTAAGGGTTCTGAGGATTCTGGTAAACTCATAACTGATGTCCAACCAGATCCTCTACCACCCACCAGCAGAGTTCCTTGGGAATGGGACCCACTCAAGAGTTACAACAGACCATTCAAGAGTCAGAAGAGGAAAAAATTACCTCAGAATTTAGGCAATCCGGCTATAATGACCCCAGCCCGGGCTGAAGCACATTTCTATGGAAAAACAATTCTTTACTCAGTGGCACATGGTGCTCTGGGCATTATGGTATAGTTGTACCAGAGAGACGACATCCCAGATCTTCCTTCAGGAATTTGAGCCTTCCTCAGGCTCACTTGAGTCACTGGAATTTCAGGGTCTGGACAAGGGAGCCTGCCACCCACAGCTTGTTCTGTTATACAGGAACCCTACTGCTGGAGGCTCCCAAGCATGTTTGCCCATGCACCCTGCTTTTCAAATCAGCACACACTATGCATGTAGCCTGCCCTTCAAGGTAGGACCTTAGATGATTTTAGGGAAAGAGGAATATATGCAAAACTAATCTAATAGAACTGGTCCGACTGAGGATGGAAATGAACTTCTGAAAATACATACTTCCCAAATATCTTCAAAGCCTGCCCTCTCTCCAGAAAGATTTATTAGTGCCTGTTATTTCCACCCAGTGGTGGCATCCACTGGATGCAACTGTGCTCTATATTATGTTATATTTTAAGAGGTGAAGTGTAGGGATGGGAATAGTGTTGAACTGCAGGTCAGGCTCGCCATAGGTTCATGTCCTAGCTGTTAGGGCCGTTACCCTAGGTCTCGCGTTTTCAGTCTTTGAAGGCTGTTCTGATGGTATTGTGTTCCTTCCTTGGTATAGGTAGGATGGGAGGGAACCTTGGTCTGCCTCCCATGGTCTTGAGACCCTTGTAGTTACGAACATTCTTGCTTTCCATCATATTTAACAAGCAGTATGTGCCTGTAGGAGGAACACAGTGTGTCTGGTGTTGGGGTTAATTAGATTGGCCCTCAGAAGATCATATTCAAGAAGGTGGAGTCCATCACAGGTTCCTTCCGTGAAAACTGGGGCTTAGGATGTGTGGGAAAAGGATCTGCACGGACATGAAGACCAGAAGGGCTTAGCGCAGGGCGTGGGTGGGGCGTTTACCTACGGAGACATCTCCCAACTGTTCCGGACTTACGTTCACATTCTGGAGAACCGCGTGCAAAACAGCTGACAGAAGCGCACCGCGGGTGGTGTTCTGCAGGGCACGCGCAGCGGCAGTGAGCCCGGCTCCCGCCTTCCTACCTCAAGGGGACAAGGCGACTACAGCACGAGTGGATGCCGACAGCCTCAGACCCGGGAAACGAGCAGATAGAACCTAGCCCGCATGGGGACACCGTCTCAGACCCCGAGTTCCTCTTGGAGGGCTTCTCCTCGAAGCCGCCGGTAAGGTGGCCCAGCACAACCTGCGTCCTCCACTTGGCGCCACTGTTCCTGTGGCGGAGCCAGGGTTCTGGGAACAGACCTGGGGAAATTAAAAAGGGTTTCCCTGCAGAAGCGCAGGTCCCACCCACCCCGCCGTAGCCAATCAAAGAGCTATCACGAGGACACGCCCACGGGGGCTCCGCCCCGGAGCCCCGCCCCAGGCACCGCCCACATCTCCTGTCGGTCCATAGCTCCGCCCATCCTGGCCTTCCTGGCGGTCAGAGGTCGGTCTTGCTGAAGTCCCGCCTGGGATTGCTGACTGGAGACTACACCTTTCCCAGCTTTTGGCAGCTACACTGGAGTCAGGACTGTAAAAGTGGTGTTGATTTCTCTGAATGAGTCTGGCCATGGCCAGGAACTGCTGCTCCAAAGTCCTGTCCTCTGTTGCTGCCAAACGGAAGCCGGGGCCATCAGGATCCTTGTCCACCAATTCTTGCAGGAGCAGTGGGACTCTTAATTCCAGTTTCCCCTTCCTAATCTGCTAGGCAGAGACCACCTTCCCTAAGTCAAGACCGATGATCTTAAAGACATTTAAGACATTTTAAAGACATTTCAGACAGTTTTAAAGACATTTCCGCATTGCTGAGTCCTCCGATCTAGTCGTGCTCTCCCAGGAATTTTTTCACTTGAGGCCATTTGAGATTCTCTAATCCCCTGAGAACGGATTTTACAAAGGTGCTACATTGAAACAAGCTCTAACTGGAGAGAGAACATTTCACATTCATTATACCGATTTTACACTCCTTTGGGAAGAATCTGTTAGATGCTCACATTCCATACACCTCCTACCCCGTGGGAGGGTCTCTACCAAGGCAGGGGACCATGACTGGCACATACAGGTGAATCATAGATATCAGTTCAATGACTGAACCAACTAGGTCTGGACTGTGCTCCTAACCCTAAAGAGCAAGGCCAAGTGTTCCTTGCCTTACAATGGCAGGGCCATGTGATTATCTGAGATCTGGGAGAGTAGTGTTAGGTTTTGGCAGACACCAAAGAACAGCGTGCCCTGTGAATCCCAAACCTAGGGAGTAGGCAGGGCCACTTGTGCTCAGACTTCCAAAGACAATGTGCCAGTTGACACTGTCACCTCACAGTGCATAGATGTCTCTCCACAGTTCTCCTGGCAGGATTGTGTGCTCCACAGATTCCCAGGAGGGACAAGATGGTGCCTTATACCTTGTCCCCTCTCTACCATCTAAGGCAGGCCCATATGAACCCTATCATCCCTAATGGAAGAAAGTGATTTCATCAAACAGCAAAGATGGTTTCCCTCAACTCCTGAAACAGAGTTGTAAGACTCCTGACCTCAGCCCTCAAGGGCATGTCAGTTGAGTGTCAACATCTAGCAGATTGGAGACCTTGAGTATTGTGTGGGTATCCTAGTTCTTGGATTCTCTTCTTTAAGAAGATTTGATCTCTGGAAAAAATAAAAGTTGTGGGTTTAGCAAGCCAGTTTTTTGGGAAACAAGCGTAATATAACCTTGAGCAAGTATTTCTAAAGGGCAGTGTAGTTCTAGAAGGGAAAGTGGGTAATGCTACTTCCACACTTGTCTCATTGCCATCTCACATTTGTCTTCCGCTTCTTCAGAGGCAGATAGGGAAGTGAGGTGAATGCTACCAGGATACCCCACCTTGAGTCTGATTCTCTAATGGTTCCCTGTGAGGTTAGGATTAGTTCTCAATTTATCTAGGGGTTTGGCAAAGCACACTTTGGGGTGTGTCTGTGTAGGTAATGGGTGCGAGACTCAGCAGGGAGCCAGGGTGCTTACTGTGTAAATATCCTTGTCCTATGCAAAGAAGGGCAAGGAGATTTTGTGAGTGCTACACTTACCCTAAATTGGGCCTGTATACAAGGCAGAAGAGGCTTGTTTTGCTCCCTTTTGTTCTGGCTGCTTCTGCTGGCTGTTGCCTTGCCAAGTGTTGCCCCATTGCCATGCCACCCTGCCTCGCAGCCAGCTGATTATGGCCTGAAACCTTCACAATAGCAATAAACCTTTCCTTCCTTCATTTTGGGTGTTGAGTAGTTGGTCCCAGCAATGAGAAAAAAGTAACCAACACATATATTGTGCATTAAATGTTTCTCTAGTAAGCACTGATAGTGTAACATTTAGTATTACACTAACAAAACTCTGTGATAAGAATGAGATCTCAAAGTGCTATTCTGGCTGTATAAAAAGTGACAAAGTTTTCTGTCCTCCTCCTTGTCAGATTTAGACAGAACTTATTCCCTTCAAGCTCATGATATTCAAACAAACTGGGGGAGAGTGGAGAGGATGAGACAGAGTCGGAACTCAGGAACTCCTCATCCATCCAGAGAGGAGCCTGACACTGGAGTTTCCTAGTCTGACTATGGATGGAATCTTGGCCCTGTCTGGAGAAGTCCTATGTTGAATGGGAAAAACAGATTCACCTAGGGCACTAGGGACTGTAAGTGGGGTTGTGCAGACTTACTCTCAGGGTGATGGAGGTCAGAGGTCACCTAGGCAGGAGCCATGAAGAAAGCATCCCCTAGGATGAGGACTGAGGAGAGTAGCTCTAGAGATCATGCTTAATTGAAACATGAAAAAAAAAAAGACAACAACAATAGACAAGTCTGTGTAGTGGAACAAGTAGAAGTTCTATTTCTTTATAACTCACTTTGTCCTGAATAGTGTATGAAGTGGGGCTTTGAAATCTGTTCTTGGCCTGTGCTTGAACTCAAATCTCAGTGTGGTGTCCAATGTCTGCTCTGCCTCTGGCCCTAGAGACATTGCCCACCCAATCCCCACTCCATGCAGAGTGTTCCTCAATTCCTGCAAGAGCTTAGCCAAAGACACTGGGGAATTTAAGGGCATCTGTAACCTCCTTATTCCAGGACAGGGCCTCTGGGTTCTCCTGACACTTCCAAGCTTGACCAAGTCCTCGTCAGAGCAACATGATATCTTTATTAGAATGAATCACAGCCTAGCATCCTGAGAGGGATCATTTTCAGATCTTGAGGAGTTGCTTCAGACAGGGCCTAGAATTTACAAACATATCCAGCCACTCAGCTGTAACCCACATTGGTCTGGGGGCCTAGCCCTCCAGGACCCTGGTTGTGAGTTTTCTTAGCTGTGAACTTCTCCAAGCAGTGTTAATGAGATTATCTGCATCCAATCTTGAAATCTGAGCATTGATTATTGCATTCCTTGCTGCTTCCTCAGACACATCACCACATGTTGAATCTTCAGCCATTGCCATCTTCTTGGTATCATAGTTCCTTTTTCTGGAGATATCTTCAATGATCTGGCTTACTTTTCTCTGGAAGCTGAGAAAAGCTATCATTGGGGCTGCATTCCCAGGAGATGAGCTGTTTTGCTCCTGCAGGTTCCCAGCCAAGCTTCACCATGGGCCTAAGAGGGACACTTACCTCCAGGAGCAGGTGGGCTCCATCTCCCAACTCCAGCCACACCCTTCTATTTTCTATCATTTTGGAATATGTTTCACCATCTTCATCACCACTTTATATGGGTTTAATACTCTCAAAAATTCTAATGGGGGAAGAAGTCTGGATTACATGGCATTATTTCTTTGTGTCTCATTTTTCTCATCTGTAAATGGGAATAGTGAGGAGCCTTATTTTGCATTTGCTTGGTTTGAAGACAAAATAAGAGAAGGCATGTATAGAATAGGCTTGATATATGGTAAACTTAAAACTGTTGCCTATTGTTATTACTGTGTTACTGTATTTTCCAAATGAAGTAGTCTTCAGGAGGTATTTGGTCTCCCCAGTGCATGCACTAGGAAGTGGTAGCACAGAAATAGAAATCTAGAAATCCATTTTCCCTGGCTCTATCACCTGTGCTCTTCATCATTAAAAAGTTCTCAAACTGTACTGCCTCTGTCCTGTATTTCTACTCTCTACAATGGGACAAATTCCTCTTTAACCTTCAGTGTCACTTCCCCTATGACACTTGTCACAAGTTCCCAAACCAAAATTGTTCTATCCTTTGGCTACTACAGCCACTGTGCATTACACTGTCAGAGATCATAGCATTAACTGTTTGCATGTCTATCTCCCCATAAACTATGGCTACCTTAAAGTGGGGGGGGGGGGAACCTGTGGCCTCTGATAGCCCAGTATAGGTGGTTTTAATGAGGTTGAATAACGGCAAGGAGGAGGAGAACAGAAATGAGGCAGAGGAAAGCCAAAGGTAGCAGCCCCTACATTACAGAGCAGAGAGCACTGTAGGACCTTAGGCCACCATGACCCAAGTTGGTGCTCAGGCTCTTGCACGTACAGGGAGACAGTAGTGGGATCTCCTGATGCAGCTCCCAGAAGGTATGGTTCTGCTAATCATGATGAGTCTTCTACAGGGAACATTTAGGGGATCAGAAGCTAGAAGTGTCAGAGGAGGTGCTGGACAGAGCCCAGTTCCCACATAAGGAATTTGGCCTGCAGGGACTGAAAGGTCAAAATCAATAATGAAGTCTGAGTTCTTTATAAGGAAGTAGGGGTTCAAATAGGAAATGAGAGGTACTCAGAAAACCAATTTCAAAACAATACCCTTTACCTAGGTGGGGAGAAGTGGACATCTCCAAGGGTAGCACTGCAGTCCAGACAAGCATATGGGGCAGGGAGGAAAAAGGACCTGGCCCAGGCTAGAGCAAGAGTGTCAGAAAGAGAGAGAGTAGGCAAAGACTGGGCTGGACCAGTGGAGTTGCAGCATCCAGAAGAGCTGGGGCAAATTCTGTGGATACAGGGTGGCCTTCATGTCAGAAATCCTCATAGAAGACAGGCAGCAATGGATAGTACCTGACATGCTTGTCAACATGAAGAGCTGGGATTGAAGGGATCATCACACACTCACCTAGCTTCTGAGAATTGCTCCAGACTGTCTGAGAGGGGCTGGTCTTGTGTTTCTGGCAGCAGGAGGGAGAAGTACAAGGCCATACAGGACAAGATGCAGCAAAGAACGATTGGCTGGAGGGACAGGAACTGGTGGATCATTGTTTCAGATGACACAGCTCCACCTGATGAGGCTAGAATTGCCAGCCCCAGGCCTTTAGCCCTGAAAGTGGAGGTGAGAGCTGATTTGGGAGGCTTCACAGACAGGCCTGGTAGACCCTGGGGAGAAACTACCTGAAACCCCACACCCTCTACTCAATGCCTTGTCCTAGATTATTGTATGACCTTGAAGAATTCAGTTCTCCATTGATTCAAAATAGGTAGTGATTTCATCTGGACCTCCTTCCTGGGCATCAGGAGTGGGAGAGGTAAGAACCATGCAGCATTGTGTGGGTGAGATGACACAGCCATTGATGCTGGGTGGGTAGGAAGATATGGCTGCAGCTGTGATCAGTAAAGACTCATATAGGGAGGGAACTGAGGCTCCGGGGAACCCATGTGTTCTAGGCAGTGAGTAAAGGAAGGAACTCTGATCCATTCTCAGCTTCACTTCTTGCTATGTGCAATCTTGAATAAGTGCCTGTATAGCTTTGATTTTTTCATCTGAGTAAGGATTAATGATGCTGGGAGATTTTTTCATGAGGCTTAAGTGAAGTAATCCATGTAAACTGCTCAGTATAGTGCTTATCACTAGGTGAAAGCTCTATCATAGCTGCTGCATTAATCCTGTGATTGTCCCATCCTTCCCTATAGCCCCATGGCCCCATGGCCTCCTCACCCACCAGACTCCATACCTGAGGACGGTGGGGAGGAGCTCAGCAGTATAGATGAACAGGACAGTGATAGTGACAGCCAGGCTGGACTCTCCAAGCACGAGCATCAACATTATGGTGGAGTCCAGCTGTGTGTCTAGACAACAGAGCCCCCTGAGTCCAGGGCCATCCTGTCTTTAGGGTCCATCATCCCTTCCTCAATTGCTTTCAGAAAGCATCCCTGCTACCCTGTTGGCTGGCCAGCAGACTCAGGCATTCAGTAAGAGGAGGCCCAATCAGGCTGACATTTAGTCCCTTTGCAGTGGGAGCCAGTGGGGAGGTGGGTTTGGCCCTCTGGGTCTCCTGCTAAGTGGTCTTTTAGTCTGCTGTTCACTATGCTTGAGCCCATTGCCCAATCTGTGCAAGGTGACCTGGGTAGAGAGTGTTAGATCTCTGGGGTCTACACTGCAGGAATTGGTGCTAAACACTCTAAGACACCTGCCTCTGGGCAGCTAGACAGACAATCTGAAGGAGAAACATACACTCAGGAGTGACTGACTGAGACTGGAGCTCTTGCTTACTGTCTCCCGAGGTTGGCAGGTCCTCTTTTATCAGCTCTCTGCATCAGCCCTAGTCACTTAAGAAGCCAGTGGTGAGCAATTCTAAGCAGTGTACACTGACAATGAAGCTCCTAAGCTCCAGTTCCATGACCTCCTGTGTGTCATGGCCTAGGGCTTTTGAAGTGCTGGTGATATTTTCAGTTCTTCCCTTCTTCCTTTCTGAGTGCTGAGCCTCAGGAGCTGTGTACTGAGCCCTCAAGAAGGAGAGGCTTCTGAGTAAGAACTAGTCCTGTGGTTGAGCCTAATATTTCACCCACCAGTTTCAGTGACTAGATTATTCCCAAAGTCTCAGATAAAAATGGGCACTTCCAGAGGGGCTGCAGAGACAGGCAGGGGCCAGGGCAGTATAGAGAGGAATATTTCACATGTGACTACAAGATCTACTTCTGATGTGGGTTGGAACCAGGGGGAAGAAGACTGCCTTTCCTCCCACACAAGGACAGCATGTCTACTCTCTCAGACCTCTGAGTGAGGGCATATATCTTGGGGTTTCCTACTTGGCCTGTGCTCCTGAAGTTCTGGTGTACTGGGGGGGGGGGTCAAATTCAAAGTGCCTAGTTCAAGGGCCATGCTGGAGGTTTGTAAGGAATCAGGGAGGCTGCTGGCAAGATGGAATGTACCTTGGAAGAGCAAAAGGAGGATGCACATGATGGTGGTTTGGGTGAGAGTCACAATCAGGCTCCACTTCGTCCCTTTGTACTCAAGGATTACAAGGTAGCACAGCCGAACAGGTACCTTCATGATGCTAGACATGGCCTTCCTGAAGTGAAGGTCCATTCCAAAGCCTCTCATTTTAAGGGTCAGTGTAAAATAGATGTAACTGACAGTAAACCTGGAATGAAGTCAGGACACCACCACCACCACCACACACGTGCCCACACACACACACACACACACACACACACACACACACACGAGTCAGGAGTATAGACAGACAAAGAAGAGAGGGGTGGGGAGGCAGAGAATCACAGAGTCCTGTGTTACGTGTTCCTAGGCCTTGCTCCTCTTCCAGCCAGCCTACCCCCATTCCCTCTCAAATTCATGGTCTGCCCACCAGCCCTAGATACCCACCATACACAGTTCATCATCAAGATCACCTTGCGGAGGTGCCTATTGTAGAAAAAATCCAGGACAGATGCCTCAGTCACCATCTTTCCATACAGTTGCAGCTAGAGCACAAGCAAGACTAGTCAGAGGCCATTCTGAAAGTCTAGCATACTCCTTTCCCCGCTAGATCTGTAAAGCCAACCCACTCTCTGTAGGGCCAGCTGGTTTCTGCCTGGCCCTGGCAGGGCTTAATATTGCTATAATCATTCTCTTTGAGCATTGGGCTGGGCTACGCTGTGGCTGAGGTCCACCTAGAAGGATAAGGGAAAGGCTTCCCAATCGCCCATGATCCTGGCCCCTTTCTTGGCCTGAAGCCTCTCACCTGATTCAGCAGGCTGTAAGGAATGGTCCTCTTGTTCACACTGGCTGCACAGCACAGCACCTGTCTGGCTTCTTCCACCTTCATTTTCATCATCAGCCACCGTGGGGACTCTGGAACAATACTTTGTGCCCGAACCCTCTCTTATTTCATTATTCTCAGACCCCCCAGAGAGCCATGTTGGTCCTGTCCCAGCCTCAGTTGTGCCCGTCTTGCTATAACCTTGAAAGTTACCACCAATTTTGAGATGCCTTCTGTCTCTCCCTAGCAAGCAGCCCATTCCCTGTCTAGGCCACACACAGCCCCAAACAGCTGCTTGATGACATTGGCCATTTGCTGCCTCTGCCCTGAAGTCTCCTTTACCCTCACTCACATCTGTAATTTTTTAAAATCTTTTTTTTTATCAGTAACGGGAATCGAACTCACGTCTGCCTGCTTACAAGGCAAGTGCTTATGCTGCTGAGCTAAATCCCCAGTCCCAAGCCTCACTCACTTCTAAGAGCACTCTTCTTCCCTACCCTATGGGATGTCCTCACATGCCTGAACACACTCAAGTCACCTACTCCATGCCCACATCCACTATGAGGGTCTCTTTATTAGAGCTGGGTTTCTTTTAGAGAGTACAGGTCAGGAGCCTGTGTCTTACCTAGGACCCAGTACCCGGTCTGGGAACTTGGAGAGGTGAGTGAAACTCTTCTGTCTCATTTCTTCCCTGTAAGTATAATTGCCTTTGACCTCAAAATAAATTTCCCCTCTCAGTTTTTCTGAGTCTTCTCAGGCTATCAGAATTCACACAGGTTACCAGTTGAAGCATGCAGTAAGTACCAAGAATTGTGGTCAGTGCCTTTGTATATAGCGTCTTGTTTAACTTTTGCCTATCCCTGGACTTAGGATGATAATCTTGTATTATTTCTAACCTCAGGGGATAAGGGCTTGGCCAAGGTCACAGAGGGTATGCTGATACTAGCGGTTCCCTGCTCAAGCACTCTACAAAACTGTGCCATGATTTCCTGCAGATTTCTTGCACCATTATTCCTTCCCCAGCCTGGAGTCTACAGCTGGTTTCTAAAAACATACACTTTGGATACTAGAGGTGATTTTTGCCCACTCTGTCTGTTCTGTTCCTGCTCTTCCCTCCCCAGTAATAATTTATCTTTTTCCATGTGGAAGTTGCAGAACACTCAAAGTCATCAAGCTGGGACTTCCTCTTTTCTTTTTTTTAATCGGTACCAGGGATCAAACTCATGACCACGTTCTTGCAAGGCAGGCGCTTATGCTGCTGAGCTAATCCCTAGCCCCAAGCTGGGACTTCTTAAGATAGATAGATTGACCATGTGTCCACTAAAACACAGAGTAATAATAATAGTAATAAATGAATGCCCAAGGACAGAGAGAGAAGGATGTTTACAGGACAGGCACTTGACAGTAATGGTTTCCACATTGTGATCAGGTGGCAAACAGAATCAATGTCAGTGGGGAACTTCTTAGAAATACAGATTTCTGGGGGTACTCCACCCCGGTAGACAGAGAAACTCTGGGGAGAGACCTGGGGAGAGTTTAGCAGGTTCCACCATGATTCTGATGTTCACAAAATCTGAGATCCATTCTTATCATTATCAGCAAGTTAGCTACTCTTTAGACTTTCTTGTTAGCTTTTTAGTGACTCTTCCTTAAATCAGAAGGTTTAATCAGAGATCCCTGGAAATAGAAAATAACTTCCCAAAATAAGCAAACAGAAAGAGTATTTCAGAAAACGCACATCAGGCGCGAATCAGAAGGAGAAAACAAGAAATTCTAAGTTATATCCTGAAGAACAATTGAGAATGTTTTGTTTTTAGCTGACACAATGAAGTCCCAAAGCTGGAAACAATGGCTAAAAACCTTGGAGAGAGAGAGATTTGACCATAGAGAGGGTAGGACTTATAAAGACAAACACAGCAGCCCAAACCAGTGGAGACTGTGTGCCTATGCAGGCTAAAAACTCCAGTTTGTGAAGTGAAGACTCTTGGGTGAATCTCCTCGTGGCATCATGTTGTTCTCATCTACTACAGCCAGGAGAATATAGTCCTGGCAAACTCCTTAGATAGATTCTAGGGCTGCCCTCTAGAAAGGGAGTCTGCTATCTCGTTGTCTGCCTGGTATGCTGATTCAGAGGCTTGTTCTGGTACACTGGTCAGTATGATAGCTCGGGAGAAGGCTGATCTGTTTCCTGAAGACCGAGGACAGTCCGCCCTTGCTCAGCTCACCTCTTTTGTTTTCAACACTGACCATTCCCTGTTCTTGAATCTTTGCCTTTTAGTATCCTTTTTTTCTCCTGGTTTTCTGTCTACTTCTGTAGAATCTCTTTGAGGTTTCCTCTACAGGAGCAGCAACACTGGGGTTCCAGAGGTTTTGCCCAAACCTCCATCCATTCCCATATCCTTTATCTTGGCCCATGAGACTCGGACCTGTGCACACCTGGACATTGCTTGCTTACCAGATGTAAAAGATGAACAGGAACATAGGTGCCCCACCCACCAGGAACAGCAGCCGCCAGTGGGGAAGGCTGTAGCTGAGTCCCATCAGGAACAGGACACCCACGGAGATAAGGCAGTGCTCCAGGAAGATAGCATGGGCCCGGTGCTTGCCCACTAGCCATTCAGTGGCTGTGCAGAGGCAAAGAGGACAAGACCATGGTTATCTCAGAGTGCAGGCTGCCCCTGTGCCCAGCTTTCTGAGATACCCCTGTGCTGTGTTGGAGAGCTCAGGCTGGACAGAAGATTTTTCTCCCTGTTCATGTTTTGCACTAGTCCTGAGACACCTATCAAAACCACATAGAGTGCCTTTGTGCCCACCATAGTGTACACCCTAGGTTTTACCCAAGCTTCCTGTCCCATACATGGCCTTCCATCCTTTCTTACCTGGCTAATCCTGCCTGACCATGTATGTATTAGAGAAGACATCTAGGCATTATGCCACATGTGTGGCCAGACATACAACAAGGTAATGAATCACTGTCCCTGTTTTTAGATGTGTTCAGGCTTTGGCTATTGAGGCCTAAGGGCTGGTGCTTCTGGCTGGGCCCTGTCAGTCTCCTCAGTGAGAAAAGTTTTCTTGCTCAGAAATCTCAAGCACAATTGGGATGTCAGGTATAAGATTCTAATCATTGAACATCCTGAGGTCAGAGAACAAGTGTATGTGCACTGCGGCTTTGATATCACATAAGCCTGGGTTGAAATCTTGGGTCCTTACTTTTCTGTGATGCTAGGTAGGGTGATTAACTTTTTAAGTTACAAATATCCTTCTCAACTAAAGGAGTTATAGAATAGTTCATACTGAATAGAAGGTTGTCCAGATGAAATGATCCAATGCAATTGCAAGGTTAGCAACTCCCTTGGGTTGGCGTCAGTGAATGTCAGCCACATAGGGGTCCACAAGGGGTATGCAGGGAGACTATGAGGGCTGCAGTGGAAATAGTGAAGGGCGGGAAAGCCAGGCATTCTGAGTGCTGATGTTCCAGCATCTCCAGGCCATCCCTCTACTCTAGTTTTTCTGCTCAGGCATTGACTGTGTTCTACTGGTTTATGCTAGATTCCTGCTAGCTCATCTTATCTTGCTGAGACTGAAACCTCTTCCCATTCCCTGAAACACCTGAAACACCCTAGCCCCCCACTTCTACCTTCTGCCCTGCATCTATGCTCCCACCCAGCCCACTCCCTTGAGGCCCAGAGTCACCTAAACACACACTGCTGATTGTGTAACCCATCACTGCCTGGGAGACAAGGAAGCGGAAGAAAAAATACTGGTGAAGACTGCTCACAAAAGCTGTTCCAAAGTTGAAGATGGTCAGCTCCAAGAGCGACGTCAGGATAGCAGGGTAACGGCCCAGCCTAGGGTATCAAGTGAGGCTGCATCAAGTGCTGGACCTTCTTGGGCCAGGCCTTCAGCTGTCCCTGGAACCCTGATAGCTCCTCCCTTAGCCTCCCCAACACTGAGGCTCATTAACTGAATGCTGTCCAAGAGGAGGCAGAATGTCCCAGGACTAGTGGAAACTGTAGAACACTCACATGTCATTTAAGAAGCCAAAGATGAGAGACCCTGTCAGGAAACCAGCCATGGATATGCCCCTCAGGCTTTCGTCATTTGGGTTGTGGCTGCACACCAGGTCAAACTGGGGGGTTAGACACAAGGATTACCATAGATCTCCAACCAGATGCTATCTTGAGGCAGAGGGCATGTGGGTCATGGGCAGGTAACTGTGTGCAGGTAACCCAACTCTTGTTTCCTCTGCACCTGCCTTGCACCCAGGTGACAGCCAGTTGAAAGAAGGACCAGAGGCACAGGCCAGGAAGGGGGGATGTAGGTGAGGGAACTAAGCACAGATAAGAATCACTGAGGGCTCCAGTGCTGGGCTCCAACCTGGAGCTTTAGATGGACCAGAAAGGGCCCAGGTTGCACCTCAAGTTGAAGCATCCTAGGGAGACACCTGAAAGAAGATGACTCCTTCCAGTCCTTATTTCTGTGAGTTCAGAGGGCAGAGCCACAACCTCAGAAACAATTTCCTGGACAGATGACCAATGCTGGTAACTTACCCCCCATTTTCTATCCCCAAAGACATCTATCTTCCTGGCTAAGGCAGGCAGGGCTAGCGGTGGGCAACAGGAACCCTAACTTTCTGTCAAGGTCTACTTTTGCAGGGTGACCTCAGGTCAACCTCTGCCCCCATCTAGCATATCCCTGGGCCTGTGCTGGTAGCTACAGATGACCCAAGATGAAGCACACCTCATTGATTAATGATCGAGTTTTGGAGTTAGGGTAGATCCACCCATCTTGGCATGTAGTAGTGTTGTTGAGGCCAAATTGGATGATAGAATCCAAATCCCAAGGCACAGGCAAGTACATGACACATGTCAGGAAACTGCCATTGCGTGTTTGAGGCAGGGTCAGATTCAGCTGCTCAGCCTCTGAGAGGTTGGGGCCCACTGCCAGAATCCAGCTGGTGTTGCAGTAGTGCTCCTGGTCTGTGAACACAAAGTACTCAGCATACATGAAACCCAATAGGATGCCTGGAATGATGATGAGAACTACAAGCCTCTGTTGGAATTTGCCAAATTCCCCCACTGCATGCAGGATGTTGGCAAACTTAACATCCTTGTGGCTTATGGCCTCCAACGGCATTTGTCCACAGATGAAAAGGTACTGGTGCTGTCTGTTGCTTCAGACTTCTAGAACCATGGGATCTGAACTATGCCTTGAAATTCTTTTCTCCTTCTATCTGTTGAAAGAAAGGATGCAACTCAGCTTCCCAACACAACTTCTAAGATATAACATATCAGCATAGGTGCCACTTGCAGAAAGCTAGGGGCAGTGTGAAACCAGGAGTTAAGGGGACTGGCCCGAGGCTGCTGAGGGTGCCACCCCCACCCTCCTTGGGTCGGGTCGGGTTGGACCAGGACTGCCCGCTGTCCTCCAACATCTGGTGGATGTGGGCCCTGGGGCGTGAGAGAATTTTGCAGCTGGCTGGAGCAACTGAGAGAGGCTTCCCTGCATGGAGCAGGCCTGGGAGGCAGCCCGGTGGGCCTCGGTGTGAGTCACCTGGGCTGGCACCTCCGCCCTTTGTCAGTGTGCAGCACTAGACAGGACACAGATCAAAGGCAGCCCCGGGAGTGTCAGCAAATGGAGCCTGTGAAGGATGTCTTCCCATCATTGGTAGCAGATGGCAGCATAGCCAGTCTAGGGTTGTATACTCAGCAAAATTTCACCACCAGAAGTATAAAAGAAATGGACAATTAAAATCAGAAACTGATAGAGCACACAAGCCAGAGACTTGATCTAATGGAATTTATAAAAGAAGGAAAATGGTCCCTGAAAGGATTTTGGCCCAGACAGGACACTGTAGCTGGTAAGCCTTAGAGGCAAAACCAAGGTGCTCCATCTTCCCCACTCCTAGGAATTTACCTGTGACTCTATCTTCCCCACCCCTAAGAATTTGCCTCTGGCACCAAAAGAATACCAATGGGCTACCTGTGCATCCCTAATGCCCCTTCAGGCTCCACCCCAAACCTAAGCTACATGTATGCCTTCACTCCATGTGTCCCACGGAGAGATCGCTGACCCTGGGGGGAGATGCCGCACCCCAGGGGCTCAGGGGTCTCTCCCTGCATTCTTAAAATAACGGTCATTTATATTTCATACTTCTTATCTTTTCAGCCGATGCCCCCACAATTCTATCATATGGTTCCCCAACCGGGAACAGCAGACTAGAGACTCCTGGGGCCCTCTCAGTCTGAGTCCCCTGCCATTTTGCAGACCAGACTGCATCCTGCATTAATTCCTCACTTTTACACAGGGAAGCTGGAAACTTGTCACTGCTGGTTCGCAAACAACACCAGCCGAATTTACCACAGGTGAACAATCCCCGGAGATTGCCGCTGGGCCAGGCCCCACGCAGGTTTTCTCCCCCTTTCCGTGGGTTTGTGCAATGCTCTCACGTCCTTAGATAGCCCAAGGCAGAGCTTTTCTGGGCCAACCTGGCTCACACTGAAAGACTCTTACGTCCTTCAGAGGTTTAAGTTCTCACAGGCAGAGCCATTACTAACTCCACGGAAATCATCCACTCATATATATATTGGTGACGGCCAATTATTATGAGCTTTGGAACCAAAATACTGGTCTAAAACAAGTAAAAGTGACGACTTAAACTTAGTAGACCACGGTCCGTTGCCTCATCTGGCTATAACTCCGTGGGCCAGCCCCCACACCAGATTTTATCTTGGGGACCACTTCCTGTCCCCCCCCAAAACACCATACCTATCTATGGCTTATCACACTGACGACAAGTTTACAAAACTCTCTATCTTTAAGCCTTTGTTTTGAGAATGTGTGTCCTTTCTCACCAGCATCCCTTTGTTTCCTCCCTGCTGCTCCTTTCCCACCAGGATGGGGGAGGTGCACCCAAACAGTGTTGGGAGATACTGCTGCTTTAAGCTTTCACGCCGCACCCCAACTCTCCGCACCCCAACTCTGCGCAGTGTCTCGGCTCTCATGCTATGCTCCAGCTCCGTGTGGGGTCTGGCTCTAATGCCGCGCCCCACTCTGCGCACCCCATAAGCAGCCCCAGCTTCAGGCGGTGCCCCAGCTTCGTGCAGGGTCCTGGCATACAGGGTCCCAGCTGCATCTCAGCTCCACCACCCGTGCGCCACATGCCCGCTATCCCTGCCCCCCGCCCTGCATGCGTTTCCGGGGCAGTTCCAGCCCCGCCCCATGCACTGCTGCCTGATGCACACTCTGCCTTCACTCTGAGTGCGCCGTCCCTATGTGGGGCGTGCTCTACCCGCGTGTGCCAGAGCAGTCCCCACCTCCAAGCTCAAGCGCGGCCCTGGCTGCCAGCGCAGAGACAAATGCAGCAAGTTGCAACAGACAGTTCATAGTTGCTGATCTGATGGTAAAATTAAAAAAATAATTATAAACGTTTGCTGGGAACTACTAGCTCTTTTCCAAAACAAGGGTTATATGATACATGCAAAACAAGACCAACACTGCGGCAGAAGCCAACTTAAACCTTTCCCAGCCTGTCTGCCTGCCCTGGCTCAGCCCTCCACCAAGCCATAATTAACTATATCCAACTGATATTAAATGACACCGTAGCTGATCTCTCTCCTAAATAAAAAGGTAGAAATTACTTAACAGGCCATCCTCCAAAAATCAGATGGCATTAGACATTTTTAACAACGTAAAGAGATACTTATATATGACATAAATGACATGTCAGTTCCTAAAATTCTCTGGACCTGTCCTCCTTATGGGAAGCCATTACTAAAATTATAAATACCTTGTTGACTGCATACTTACTTAATTTTATAGATACCTTCTACTGTACACCAAATCCCAAACAAAAAGGGCAAAACTTGACTTTCAAACTCCACAGAGACCTTCTTAATATGGCTTTTAGTGTTTTCAACAACAGAGATAATAATAACACTTGTGACACTTGGAGTTCTGAGACAGATAAACCGACACAAGGTGGAGCTGCCTGGGCCCCCCCCATGGACCATGCCTCAAATGCAGCAGAAGGACATTGGGCAAGAGAGTGTCTCATCCTGGCGTTCCTTTGGGACCTTACCCCAGGGCTATTGGACTGTCCTAGCCACCAGAGAGTGGGCAAGTCATCCTAACTTGTAGCCCTCACAGGAAATGCCAACACTGCCAGATTCATTGCTGACAGATCTGCTTAAGTTCACTTGCTGCTGAAGACTGATGGGGCTCAGGGCCAACAACAGCCCCCCTTTAAGGTGTCTGTCTCGGAGTCCAAGTCCCACTAAAAGTCTCAGGTAAGACATTCTCTATATTTGTGGACATAGAGGCCATATATACAGAGTTCTTCCTGAGTGTTCAGGCTGCTATAGTAAGTCCTTAATCTCTAGGGGGTATTGAAGGTCAACCTATGCCATTTACAATCAGGGCCTATTTCGTGCAGGTCCCAGGCTGCTTCTTCCCAGTCCACCCAGTGGTGCCAAATCTTCCCTCCACCACTCACTCTACATTCCTAAATCTTAAAAATGCTTTTTATTCCCTTGTGTTTATACAGACTGACCCAGACACTGAGGCCTCAACAGCTTACACCTGGTATTGCTAGAAAATCTCTCCTCAATGCTATAGACCACTTCCTTCCTTTCCTATACACCAGTTTCTCAGACACAACCCTGGTCAAGACTGACAGATAAATTTTGCCTTCTCACCTTTGTTTATACTTTTTCAGGATACATAAAAGCCTTTCCCACAACCAGGGAAACTGCTGATATACTTACTAAAATCTTGTTACAGCAAATCATTCCAAGGACTACAACCAGGTTAGAGTGACCCATACCTGGTATTCTTGGCAACTTCAACAGTGATCAAAGTTGCTAGATTGTTATCCTGGTTTCACATCACTCAGGCTAAGTGGTGCCCTTCCAGCCTTAGATCTAACCATCCTTTTGCCTACTTGTCTCCTCACAACCACAACCACAAGGCCTCACAACCACAACTCTCAGGCGTCATGTTTTGTTATCTAATTTGGTTTCTAATTTCTTATCCTTTTTTACAGTAGGACTCTCAACAGTATTTCCTAAAGACTCCTACGTCATGCATACAGAGACAAGCCTTACCCTCTTAACTTTTACCCTTTCACATGGGGGAGTAATCACCTCTCCTAACTTCATTCCTTCTAACCCCACATTTATTTTTCAGAATTCTGCCTTACTGTGAAAATTTCTACCTCAACATGGTCCTGATATAATGACATATCAAAATCAAAAGCACCTTTCCCTCTACCTCACCTGGGTCCTTAAATATGACAGTGCCATGCCTCCTCATAACATCTTGTCTCTTTGTTTTTCCAGTCTAACATACGTGCATTCATCAGTGAAGTTGTCCTGGCTAAAACATTTGGCACGAGCTTCTACATGGGCATCAACCTGTCATCTTGTCGAGTCCCCCAGACCCCTGTACAGCATCCCCTTCCAGCAGGAATCAGTAAAAAAAGAAATCTCCACCCCTTTTCCTAATAATAATAATCATAAGACAGGATATGAAAGAATTTTGGCCCAGACAGGACACTGTAGCTGGTAAGCCTTAGAGGCAAAACCAAGGTGCTCCATCTTCCCCACCCCTAGGAATTTACCTGTGACTCTATCTTTTCCACCCCTAGGAATTTACCTCTGGTGCCAAAAGAATACCAGTGGGCTACCTGTGCATCCCTAATGCCCCTTCAGGCTCCACCCCTAACCTAAGCTACATGTATGCCTCCACTCCATGTGTCCCATGGAGAGATGGGGGGTGGATATGTTGTACCCCAGCGGCTCAGGGGTCTCTCCCCGCATTCTTTTTTTTCTTTTTTTTCTTTTTTTTTTTTGTCTTTTTCGTTTGTTATCAGAACCGGGGATTGAACTCATGACCGCCTGCTTGCAAGGCAGGAGCTTATGCCGCTGAGCTAAATCCCCAGCCCTCTCCCCGCATTCTTAAAATAAAGGTCATTTATATTTCATACCTATCTTTTCAGTTGCTGCCCCACAGTTCTATCAGTCCCAGGAGGACGCCTTGAGACACAATAATTATCAACCAAAATGGTAAACATGTAAACAAATCCAAATATTGGTTGATTGTATTAAATAATAAGAATACTTTCAAACTGTGGAGCTTAAAAAAAAAAAAGAGAAAACCTTGGACCACTTAAATCAGGAGGGGGAAGAGCAGACTGTCCCACAAGCTTCCTGTTCCGTTTTCCCTCAGCAGCGGTGGGGACCGGCGAGGGACAGGCGGCGCGGAGGCCCGGACCCCACACTGACCCCACACTGACGCCCCGGCGGGGTGCGGCGCTCGCTGGCTGAGGCGAGGCACGAGGGCGGTCCGAGGGGTGCAAAGGGCGCGGGCGCCAGCCAGGTGACTCGCCCCCAAGCCCCAGGCCGCCTCCGGGCCGCGCCACGCCGGGAAGCCTCTTCCGGTCGCTCCAGCCCGCTGCAAAATTCTCACACGCCCGGGGCCCACATCCACCGAACGCCGGCGGACAGTGGGCGGTCCTGGGCCGGAGGAGGTTGGGGCTGGCGCCCTCGGCGGCCGGGGGATGCCGCAGCCGCCTGCAAGGCGGGTTTCCTTAATTCCTGGCTTCACGCTGCCCCGAGCTAACCTGCGCTGCCCCGCTCAGCTCCGACTCTGCTCGGCATGGGCTCCCGCTGCTTCTGATTTATTCTAGCTGAAGGCCCACAGAGTCCAGCAGCATCTGCCCAGCCCCAGAGTCTGGGACCCTGCTACTCAGAGGAACAGGAGGCCTGACAAAGGCAGGCAGAGAGCGCAAGACGAAGTAGGAGAGGGGAAGGAGGTACTGGCTGAATAACAGCCTCCCCAAAGATGTCTGCA